AGAGAATGCAACCGTGCACTGCCGCTTCCACGACAATGGAACACCGGAGCCACTCATGGGCGTCATAAATATTAAAATCGAACGAAGTCGAACGTGTTTCGTCGATCCTTGCCACGATTAAACGAACTTCGCTTTTCCGTTCGAACTCGGCTCCTCCGAGTACCGTTACAGGATATGTAAATAACTTTAGCCGAGGAAACGTTGGTTCAACCTCTCGAATGAAATCTAAGATGAATTTTTAACCGCGAAAACAATTCGCGGTTGCGTCACAGAAACGAGACCAGAAAACCCACGCGAAACGAAAGTCACCGAGGAAAGGCATAAACCACAGCCGAACGTTATTCCACCGGAAACAGTTCCCCTTCTGTTACACCTACAGGTAAAAAGGAAAAGGTAAAGTCTACCGGGTCGAGCAGACGATGAGATCACCTGCGAGCTACGGATGAATCAGAAAGTCCCGTGTACCGGGCTTCTGCAGGATCCTAACGGCACTCTCGAGAAATTAACGATCCCGAGGAACGGTGGCGGGCACGCGCGGTCTTGAATGTAAATAAAAAAACATCCGTAAGAGTAAGGGAAATAAAAATAGCGAGGGCGGGTACGCACCAAGGCGTCCTCGAAATACTGCGTCGCGAGGGTGAAATATATACACCCTGCGGCCAAGGATCGATTGTGCACAGCGAAAATTGCTATATATTCCACGCCCACGACACTTCAACAACAGCCACCCCGTTACGCGATTAATTTCACGAATGTTTGCCTAGACTGACGTGTATTGATCACTGTATAATGATCGACCCTTTCCCTCAAAAAGTAGAAAATATAATATAATAATAGCGTCGTTATTATTAAATCAAAATTGAATTAAAATCGTGGCTCTCTCCATGGTCCGCCGCGCAGTCCCGGGCCTCTCTCCATGGTCCGTCATCCGAATTTCAAGAAATGCATTGTATTATATTCTTATTTTAGGATAAAAACAAGAGTGTAATATTAAATACTGAAAATAATATTCAATCTCAGCAATAACTGTAAAAATATAGCAAAATAAGCCAGGTTTCTTTTCGTCGATCTATTGCAAAATAACAATTTCTCCCGCGCAATTTTTACCTACCGCCTGATACGTAACACCTTTGAATTATATCAGAGCATTATATTCGTAATAGAAACTTTCGAAGGAAGTGCGATGAACAGATAACGTTACACACGCCAGGTATGCGTTATATTCCACGTGTTTAGTGCATATATCTCGTTACATTCATCGGTATCAGAGTTTGCAAACCGCATTGTGCAAGCATTAGAATCGTGTGGGAAGCGTTAATGACTTTCTAAGCGTTCGCATATTCCTGCTAGAAGGACATAACTAAATGGCCACGATTACTGGTACGACCTCGTATGATTTTATCCTCCTAACAAGAGAAAGCCGTATTCCGTAGGACCTCATTTTCAACAACCTCTGACTTATCATTGTGCTAAGCGTTAAGTACCGTACGCGACCTATCAACTGTTCGCTAATTATTATTTGCATTTCACTTGTGTCCTTTCGTATTTCTCTACCTTGAACGACGATTTTTATATTTCTGTTCTTTGAATCTATTTCTTATCTGTGATTTCATTAATTCAGCTTCGTTTTCATTTAATAGCATCTCGGTGAACAAACGCAGGAAGTGGCTGGATTAATTTACAAGCGTAAAATAATACACGTAATATCTCCAACAGATTATAGATAACATTAAACAATGCCGAGATTTATCATCTTACAAAGCTATGCAATACTTGTAGCACTTCCCGTCAAGCTTCACAGGCTTCTGTGATACGAGTACCTTTTTTTTTATTTTTATGCATCACGCTTCTTTGAACGCGTAACGAAAAACCGTTTCTTCTTTCTCGAAGGATCCTCGTTGCATAAATTCAAGGAGATCTGATAGAAAAATTCGATCGTTTAAATCAACAGTCTCCTTTCGTTCTGCTTTCCTTTTCGAAACTCCCCAGGGTGCCGGTAATCGCTCAAACGTGCCTCCACGTTCTGGCATCGCGTTTCCTTTTTCGACAATGCACCGGAAGTTCGGGACGGCTCAGCGTGTCCTCTAGGTATCACGTTTATTCTCACCTCTTAAGAATCCGTCTCGTATTTATCCAGCAAACGATTCCATTCGAAGTACCTTTTAACCAACGGTGTTACTTCGCTTTTTCTTATCGAATAAATAATTTTTCTTTGGACGTTTAAAATTCTGAAATTTGAAATTCATTCGTTCGGCCTGCAAATCCTGGCACGGTTAATTATTTCGTTTCGCCGACGACGGCGGAATGGAAACAAAAGGGGTGAAAGCTGCGTGACAAGACTGGAAGTGGAGGTGTCTTCGGGTTTTTCAGTCGGGCTCGAAAGCACGGAGCACTTTGCCCTCGGGAATAATGAGATGTGTGTCTGGCGAACGCTGGAAAAGCGAACCGAAGGGAAAACTCGGGTTACAAATTATCCAGATCCTTTTATCGTTTCTTTTTCTTGGGAATTTTTAAGTTATCGATACGTTTGATAGAGTGGTTAGATCGAAGCATGAATTTCGTTTCTAACGACGCTACGTCTTCGTTCAACCAAGAATTATTTCAACCGAGCTGATAAATCGATATCATCGCGCATCCGCGAGCGGACGGGTTGAGATATTCAATCGGAATATTCGATATACCAATATTTACCGTGCGAGAAGCTAATGGATTTCTTCATTACGGTAATGGCGAACGTTTCCATTGGGATTACAAGGGAGAAGGTTCGTCTTAAAATCGTTTTTCCTTTTATCGATCACCAAGCGATCTTATCTTCTATTGGAAAATCTAGCTGTAAAGCTGGGAAAAAACTTTGGTAATTAAAACGAAAATTAACTCGGATAGTCGTGTATTAGGTTTCTAATTACAGAGCTCCGCGAATCGTTTAATCATTCGAGCGTTACATCAGAATCGAGATCATCTTCCGCGAACGTGGCTGTTAAATCCTTTTGCATCGTGGCAAACCGGAAATCGGCTGAGCACGGAGGTCGAGGTTTTCTCGTGTTACAAAGCCACGGTTACATTGCACCGCAGCGCAGGATGCGTCAGGTGCACCGTGAAAATAAAAAAAATTCGAGCAACGAGTTAAAAATAGCAATAACGGGAAGTTTGAAAATTATTATTTTCACGTCTTTGATTAAGCAAAATGTATTAGGAAATAAAACAGGCCGTTTCTTCTGCTAAATTAAAAATTATACTTCATTATTGTCAGAAAAAAATAATAGATTAATTTTCGCCTTTATCATGTTTAACACGTTGAACGTTATGGGGGTCGCCGGTAGCCGGCTCTGCAATTTACAATAATTAAAAGAAAACGATAGAAAAACATTATTTTAAATAATATTGCTATGGTACAAATAATGTGAAATTAATTTGAAAATTAATTATTACTATTCTTAGTAATTAGAGCTTTAATACTGTGGCGTTCAACGTGTTAATAAATTCAACAAAATAATATACAATAATGTTTAAATCGTTATGAAAGTACGTGGTTGAATATTCCATGGTGTATATGAGGAACATAGGTGAAAGAAGTTGAGTCAGAAGAAAACCCTTTGAATAATTAAAGAAGGGCATTACAGTCAGGTGAGCGCTCGTTGCACCGGTGCAACAGACTCACTGTCGTCCAGGGTTTCGATCGATTTCCCAGTCATTGACCTCTAGCACGATTATGCTAATACCCTGCCACGGGTTTCGGTCTTAGCCTCTTCCATAACATCGCCTGTATCTATTTTTCAAAGCGTATCCTTGTAGAATTTCAATGCACAGTCAAGAATAACCAGAATTATTATGTATAATTTTTTTCTCTCAAGAAAAAATATTCAGACACGAAATATCATAATTTACGTGCTCCATTCGCTTATCAGTACCATAATAACTTTCAAGATAGCGAATATTTCTGCTTACGAGCATTTTATCTTTTACCTTTTTCTCTACCCTCTCATTTATCACCCTTGAATGATATCATTTATGAAAGTTGAATCTTTTTATATTGCCATGCAATTTGTTAAGTAATCAAGATTCTTTTGAAAAGATGCAATTAAAATACGTATAAATGAAAGTAAAAATAAGGTCACCCTCGTGATACTTGAATGGAAATAAATTTTTTCTGAAAATTTAGGAGAAATAAGGTCACTCTTTCGTGATATTCGTACGCAAACAAATTTATTTCAATTACAAAAGTGAAATCTTCGCGTTCGTTCATTTTCCAACGGGAAATACGTGTCGTCGACTGTTCCACCGGGATGCATCGCAAATATCAGCACCTCTCTACTCGTTCCCCCGTTTCAAACTGGCATATAAAAGCGTTAACGACGATCTTTCTGACGGCTATTATCACTGACTATCGTTAACTACCTCTGCCCCTCTGTTCGTAGATTGCCAGTGGCCTCCGTTTTTCATTCCTCTCTTCACAGTTTGATCTCCTTTCGGACACGTTGAAAAATTCGTCATCGAAATCTTTGCCCTTTGAATTCTCGAGAGAATTTAATTATAAAATTTCAAAACAGGCTGCTTGTTTGCTAGCGGTTCTGTAAGAACAACGCAGCCACGATGCATCGAAAAATCAATGCAGCCGGTCCAGCTGGGGTCTTAATCCGACCCGACCGGTCATCGACGTTTGATCCATTTTTCCCAGGACCAACTAGGAAATAAATTTCCCTCCTCTGTCCCCGTTACGTTCACCCTTCGACCTGGCAACCCTTCCTGACCTACGCTCTACATCCGACCGTGTCCTCGTTTCCCCCGCTCTGTTCTCGCCCCAAAAAGCGTTATCGGGGCTGCAGATGGAAAATAATACTATTCCACTCTGCGTTTCTTTTCTTTCCTTTCACAATTTCTCTTTCACCCGCTTCATTAGCAAGTCTTGTATTCGAAAGAAAAATTAGAGGACTGATCAACGGTGTTAAAAAATGAAAATAAATAAAAATTTTCATTCTTACCAATGGTTTCGTTTGTTGCAGGGATGTTCACCGTAGAAAATCAAGTACCAACGTTTCGGTACACTTTGTCCGAATGGAGGATCATCGTGACCCATTACGGTGGTTTAGCTGGTCTAGCATTCGTTGGTCTCCTTTTGGCGGCGATTTTACCATGCGTGGGTTTGTTCTTTTGTTGCTGCAGATGCGCCGGTCATTGCGGTGCCAGAAGCCAGCCGTTCGACAAGAAACACGATCATTGTAGAAAGGTGTTGCTCAGCATGGTGCTCATAGCAGTAGCTACTATTATATTGTAAGTATAATTGAGTATCAACGAACGAACGAAAAAGGAACCTCGTTCGAAAAGTAGAACGATTGTCTTCTCCAGTTTTCGATTTTCCATTTTCTCTGAAAGCGATCACCGTGTTTCGACGAATGTTAAAAGACATTCGAATTGAGTATCTCGAAGAATATTTGTCGCGAATAAATCGTTCCCTCGACGATCGGTTTCTCGAGAGAGAAAAAAAGAGATTACGGAGTAGTGCATTCGATGCAAATTACAGGTTCGGCGTTGTCTGCGCGTTTGTGACGAACGAGTACATGCAGGATGGCATCAAGGAGCTTCCGAGCAACGTGAAAACCAGCCTGAAGGATGTGAAACTATACCTGAGCACCACCAAGGAAGAGATCAATAATCTTCTCATTACTAATTTCGACGAGCTTGAAATTAATCTGAACAACATACTTCAAGCGAGCGGCAGAATCGTTACCGAACAGCTCGCCGAATATTCTCATGCGGTCTCTCTTACTAATCTCAGCGATATTGTGGCTGGATTGGAGTCCATCAAGGAGGATCTGAAGACCATGCATATAATCACTAGAGATCTGAGGACGAACGCCAGTGAACTGGACAATGGTACAGCATCGAGCAAAGTAGTCTTATTATGGAAAGAAAAGGGATAAAATAGTTGAATTAATTCTGGACACTTTGAATAAAAATATTCTTTTATTTCATATTTGTACAGTAAATGTATATTCTGCTATGCTAAATTGATACCGCAATATTTTGTATAATGTTTATAATTAATATTTTCACATGATTTGGTTTGTAAATGTTTTTCAAATTTTAATTTAAAGAAATCTAAACTGTGTTATTATTTTTGTTTGAAAGGATTATTCAACGAAATATTAATTTTTTTTTTCTACCTCCTTTGATGTGTTGAAATTGTAATTTTTGTAATGATTAGAATATAAAATATAAATGATTATGTATTAAATAATTTGAATAAATGCGAAATTTAAGTGTCCAGAATTAATTCCACTAGCGTAGAAAAGCAGGAATAGTAAAATTGATTTGCTTCTTGCAGTTGTACGAGGTGTTAAAAATAATTTGCTTCACACGCTCGCAGCTTGCAAGACCCAGCATTGCAAACAGGTGTTGAACGATTACAAAGTGAATCAAATGTCCGTTCAAGTGGACTTCGACAAGGTAACATCTTTTCGTTTGCCTCTTTCTATCCAACGTCCGCGATCGTTCATTCAGTGACGTTAATCTGCTTTCTGTTTTACACGCATGCAGTACATGGACCGATATTTCCCGAAGGTATGAGTTTATTATTACCCTGGACCATGCTAATTCAAATTTTCTGCTTATTTCTGTTTTTTTGTTGCTTATTTTTTGCATAGTACCGCGAGGAGAGTTGCTTTTCAAACGGATGAATCACTTGGCCGACAGATTTAGATATTGGGGAATAAAAAGGAACGCTTTGAAAGATTGCTTTACGTTTGAAATTCAATGGAAACAAATGAAATCTTTGATTTTTCCTTTAAATATCACGCTAACTTTATTTCAGCTTATCGAAGATGATAAAAGTAATCGAGGATAGGGTGATGGGGGTGTTTTTTTAACACCCTAAGGTCTCTCTGTCTTAATACGAATTTCTTCTTTTAATCTTATGACTGTGCAATCATTGATTTTGCAAGCAAAATCACTGTATCAATTTGTCTGATTCCATGCTTGCCACAATAGCTTCAGTCTGTAAGTTGTAAGCTCTAAAAGCATGTCAATCTCCGATTCTGTGTATCGTTCCATATGTGTGTGTCGTTCATTGGACAAATCTTTGTTGAGTGTGACGTTCGAACTGTCCAATGTTTAGTTCCATAAATGATTAGGGACAGAAAAGTTGCGATTATTTTTTTAAATATATTTTAACAGCGACACTTGTTTTACTTTGCACGTTCGAATAAAGTGCACAATTTTATAGATCACTTATTTATTTCTCATCTAAACTTATCAAACACTTTACTTTTAACCAAGCACTCTTTGTATTCTGACACTTTCAAACTTCAACTCTTCTTTTTTCTTTTTATTTAGTATTCAATCATAATAATTGTTACTCTTTTCACCGATAGATATGATCGTTCATCGCCTCGATAATTTTCATTAACAATGTCAATGTGATTCTTTCAGTTACCAAACGTCACATCAGCCTTGCACAACATTACCATGCTGATGAAAGGTAACATCGTGTCGGAAGTGAGCCAAGGTAAAGAATCGTTCCTGAAGATACAAAAGGATATTCAGCACGCGGTGAATCAGACCATCCCTGTGGTCAGTGCTAGCATAGATATAACCGGAAACTTTTCCAAGAACCTGGCGAACAACATGACGATGCTTATCGATAGGATAAACGTCGATATTGATAGAGTTTACATCAAGCATCTGGATTATGCTCGAACGCATATTGATCAGTATTCACCGTACAGGTAAATCAATAAGTGATCTGAAATGAAAACTGATAATTCTTTTCTAATACAATTCCTTTTCTTCCAGGTACTATCTGGGCCTTGGAATATCAGGAATTCTGTTAACCGTTTTAATGTGTCTGACTTTTGGTCTCTTCTGTGGAATTTGTGGGAAACGTCCAGATGGTTACGGGGACGACTGCTGTAATAAAGGTTCAGGAGCACGATTCCTCATGATGTAAGCCTCTGGGACAGATAAATGAAAGGTCATGAAGTAACACAGCAGATGGTTTTACTTTGCACTATTTATGTTCAGGGCTGTCTGGATTATTTTCCTTTTAACCAGCGTCCTAATGGTGATCACTGTAGCACACATGGTCACCGGTGTTCTCGTTCAGCGAGCAATTTGCGAACCTTTGAAGAATCCTCAGGACAACAGGATGTTCGCTCTGGTCGATGAAATTGTTCAGGTGAAGAAGACACTCTACCCGCAGAATCCGAATATTGATATAAACATGAGTTACATTGTCACGTAAGTGTTCCAGGATGAAAGTGTTACGTTGAAAATTGAAAATACATCATTGATTTTATTTTCTTATCACAGGAATTGCCATCGAAACGAACCATTGTACCGGGTTCTGAAGCTGAACAATCTCTTTGATCCGAACTCGTTGCGCGAATACGCTGGTCGTTACGATATCAACAACACTATTCAACAGTTACGTCGTAAAATTAGTTTGTCACCAGGTGTAGTAATCCTCACAGAGAGCGCCAAGTCAAAGCTGAACGACCTCGCCCAAAGCGGTCTGAGCGATATTAAATTTTATCAATATGCTGAGATCCTTGCCGATAATATTACCAACATCAATCTGGAACATTTGGCAAGGCAGCTGTGGGAGGTCTCAGCCAAATTACCGGAAGGACAGGACGACATTCGGGACAGTCTGGAGAAAAATGCGATGAATCTGGAACATTATCATAGAGATCTAGTGGTGCCGATGTCGACGCTTAGCGAACAGTTAGCCGCGAAGGCTCTCGCTCTTGAGGAGAAGATAAAGTTCAATCATAGCTCGATGGCGGAGGCAATTCATGACCTCGTTGACGAAGTCACGAAAGCGCAGCAGTTCCTGAACAAAGACGGGCCAGAATACGTGCAAGATGTACGTCTTCTTTGTCTTAGATAATTAGTAATAAATACTCTTATCATTATTTTTATCTTTATTGCAGCTAGCAACTAAGTTTGGAAACGCTTTTCTTCGTCAAGTCGATGACTTCCTCGAACGTGTGATCGATCACGCTTTGTTTCACATTGGAAGTTGCGCTCCTGTTTCAAACGCTTACAATGCCACTTTGGTTGCAGGCTGTAACAGGATCTTAGATCCATTCGTGAGTGTCAATGAAATGAAATGCAAGGATAGATCTTTCAATATGTTATATTTTATTATATTCCTTGATATGCAGAACGGTTTCTGGGCGAGTGTCGGATGGTGTTTGATCCTCTTCATTCCAACCATAGTACTCTGCGTGAAACTGAGCGCGCTGTATCAAAAATCAGACCCTTATCCAGGACCTCTAGTCGAAGCGTAAGTTTCTGATATTTTAACAGCAATTAAACCCGATCGATAGATTAAACGCTATTATATGTTTTCAATTTATAATTAAATACCTGATGCATGTCGACCATCAAGATACCAATCTCCCTTTTGGTGTGAAGCCAGGGTTATTCATTATCATTCATTTGATTGAACTAAAGAAAATCATGAATGAAACAAGAATGATGAACATATAACTTAGAGAAGATAATAGTTAATATCGTTACCGTTGAAAAAGTTTAGTTTATTAAGATACTCATAACATTCACTCGAAAACAATCGCTTCCATTATCTCTCCGCTCATTTCTTCGCCAAACAAATTCTGACCACTCCTTATTGTAGCAAGTATTGAGTCTTCTGTCTTCGGTCTGGTAGTTAATCGAGCTTCCATACGTATCCAAAAGCATGCATTTAATCGCGCTTGCAACATCTTTCAGTTTTCTAGTCGGCATGAATGATCCTTAATTAGAGAATCTCGTGATTATCTCGCGCGATCTCGTGCTAATCGACAAACTTAAATCATAAGTGCCAGTCTCTTTTCGTCACCTCTGTGTGCCCTATTAACTAATCATTGATCCTGTCAATCGCGCGCAAAAATGCAACAAGAAAATAGTAAGAAGTCCAATGGAAAATATGTTCTCTTGCGGCAGGAATTCAATTGTATTAATCTTTCATTGAAATGTTCTGATTTTATTGTTTTGTTTTTTTTAACGTAACAATCGAATCCCTGCTCGACTTTCCAATGCTGTAGTTTATATTAAGTTAAAAGTAGCTGTCTAATGTGTGGAATGGTTGTTGGAATCTAACCGCTAACACGCTCCGTTCCAGTGAATATTTGTATGACGCGTATGCAGACAGGGATAACATACCCCTTACTCAGTAAGTATCCAACGAAGAAAAGCCAAATTGCTCGCATGCAGAATTCTGTTCTTTGTATCGCATGTCCTGTACATCCTTGGACACAACGCCAACCGTTTCTTTCACAATCCATTTAGTCTCACTATCCCAAATTCAATCACACATCTCACAAGAATTCATTTAGATAGGTCCAGTAGATCTCTCTGATTGCATGGAACACTCTGTAGCTTTAGTACAACGAGCACCTTGGTTGAAATATTGTGGGATCTGAAAACACGTTGAAGAATATTTCTTATAAAGGATATTACATTGAAAGTTAAATATTTCTTATGGATCCTACAGTATCATTTTTTAATTTTAATATAATTGTACCTTGATAATTTCCTCTTTCAACATCTTCTTGACTAGATCCTTCTTATTGCTTCAAAACAGATGAATTAGAAATACAGATCATTTGTCCAGAAGGTGTTGAATATCTCTATTGTATTACTAACTGTAGTATTGATATGAAAATGAACAGCTTTGAAAGTTCCTTGCATACAAAAGTACATACACACAGTAGTAAAGTGGATGCGAGTCTACAAAGCTACTTAGGACGTTAATTACCCACTTAACACGCAGAAACAGCTTTAGCGAACAGTATAATTTCCTCTAACTCGCATGTCGAGTCGTAAACGAGCGACGATTATCCGGACTAAAGTGTACCTTTTAATTGCAGTGTCCACGACAAGAAATACGTGTCTCATAGTAGAGACCCATACGCCAAGTACGAAAGCTACGACGGACCAGCAGGTGGATACAGCGAGCGAGAAAGGGTAGCGGATGCCCATCAAAGCACATCCCATTACCATCATCACTATTCAAGATATTCTGATGTAGCGCCAAAGTAAGTGTCCGAACTGACAAGTTCGTGATACGAGATAGAAAGCTCTATCGAGAGCAGATTTTCTTTCCAATCATTCCACTTCGATCGTGTTCTTACATTTCTCGTATAAGAAAGAAACTGTCATCGTTTTCTAAAAGAAAAAATGTGTAAAAAACTTCAGGATTATTGATTCTCTGAAACGATATCCTGTGATCGTTCAGGGTTATATTAAGAAAAAACTACGATCTCTATCCTTTTTCCGTTTCTCTCCGGTTTTTCACTAGTTCACCTATGGTTTATTTTACAGTTCAACCCCTTCGTGGCGAAGCCACGAATCTACCGCCCCCTCCAAAACAGAACCTCACAATAAAGTCTTTAGCATATCGATAGAAGCGCAGTAAGTCTTGAAATTAATCACGGAGCGACAATCATAAATTCCGCTTTCTGTGACACGTTATGCAATTTTCTGTTCACTCGGTTCCTCTGTTTCGGGACCATTTTTGGTCTCTTACTGCCACCAATATTTTTGTTTTTCATTTCTCTTCTCCCTTCACCGGTGAGCAGGGTTCCCACTCATTACGCGACATTTCTTTATGCATTCTCTCCTCTCATGTATTTTTTTTTTCTTTTTCTACTTTTTTTTCTTGTTTTTTTTTTTTTTTTGTCTTTATAAAAACGCTCGAATTAAACGCGAGGATGGGATCAAGGTCTGAATAGAAGCTTGCATGGATACTTAATAAAATCAAGATAATATTGAAACTTGATCCATATTCAGTAAGTACTTCATCTATTTTATAATCCAGATTCTAATTTCATTGGAGATATCGGTAAAGTTGTTACGAAAGAATCGAGTGTTCAAATTATTCTTGATTCTATTTGCAATTTTACTTGATCCCATCCCGTACATGTCATGCAACCTCGATGGTCACGCTTTTTTTCCCGGTTATTTCCAGGTGAGTGGGAACCTTGCGGGGGGGCAACTTCTCGCGTCTCTCGAAACGCCTCTGCACGTAAGTCGCAAGACAGATTTGTTATCAAATGTGTCACCGTACTTCGTTCTCCTTTTTTTCGTTCCTATCTTTTGTTCGAATCGTTTGCGTGGCAAACAATAGCTTCGCTAAAGCTTTTTGCGGGACAAGATAATAATAATAATAATAATAATAATAAAAAAAAATGAAACAAGTAGGTCGAGTGAGAATACAAAAGACATGGCTGTCTTTCATTCAGTTTCAAATGTACGTAGGTGATTTGAAAAATAGAACAGCATGTCCGATTCTCGAGATGAAGTCTCGTTTATTTTTCTACAGGACATTCACGGTACATAAAGTTTACTTTCATTTTGCTTCAGCAGCTTCGTCATTCGTTTGTTCGCTAAGGCATACGTGCGCTATTGCCACTGATAACTTCCTTTAATGTTCAAGAATTTTGTCTTTTTTTCTTTATTTTGTTCGCGTCTGACGAAGAAAATATAGAATAAGTTATAATTGATAACCGTAATGTAGTTGGACTAATACAATCAACGTTATTTGCAGAAACTGTGATTTTCCTAATGGTGGACCTCCTGGTTACCAGCCAGCCGCAGCAGCTCCTCCGCCTTTGAGCACAGAGTACGAACGACCACCCCCCTATTATTACTATCCTGGGCCAGGGTGAGTTTTACAAAGACTTCAATGGTTCCACGTAGACTGGGATTTAGAAGATAGAGATGAAATTTAAATTAAAACTGTCTCAATGATCCATAATCTTAGGGTGAATGTATTTTTAGAGATACTACGGTTTATATATTTTTCAGGGACACAAATTAGGAAACAAGTGCCGTGGCATGCACAAAGTTAGCGCTGAGTAGCGTCGCTACTCACAGTCTCACTCGCAGTTACAGGAGGACACTCAGGAAGAAAGAGAAGTCCAGGTGCAGGCGAGACTACGTTTAATTGTAGCGTTTCTATTTGAGCGTGCCACGGACCGTGCGAACGGCGGTATCAATGAAAGACCAAGTTTAATACAGACTGAGGTAGGCTAAATGGATCCTTCAGCGAGTGCAAGTAGTGTGATCAATGTGTGCGATTTGTTTTCTTTAGTAATTATTATTTAGACTCGCGAAAGGGACGTTACGTTGTGTCGAATGGTTTTCTGCGACTCGACAGCCTTTTTATTAGCGCAACAATGTTTTCTTCATTTATGTCTTTCTTTTATTTTATTATTATTACTAGATGAACTGTAATGAAGCGATGATTTGCATCGTTTGTGCTATGTTAATCGTTGGACAATCGATTTTTAACACGACTGATTATTTACCACCGTTTATAACCCTTTTCTCTCATGAGAATGCCATTATGATTATCTTTTTTTTTTTATTCGATTTGTCTTCAAGATTTACATGCATCAAGTTTAATCGTGACTCTCGAAGACGCGTTGATCTTTTATCGTTTTTTTTTTTTTTTTTCAAGAATAATCATTCTAATGCTTTACAAAGAAATTTCTCTGAAAGCTCAGTTTCTCATCCGGCATTTAGTTCCTAGTTACACACGCTCACACACAGGATTGAAATCATCGTCTGCATTAATCATTATTAATGAAAGTTCATTGTCGTGCCTCCCTTATTGACCCACTGGCGTACGCTTCTATTTCACCGAACACAAAACCTGTCTATTCAGAAAGTAGCGAACGTGTATATAATTCAGCCGCTTGTGTCTTATGAATTTTCACTGTCTTGTACGCGAACTGCCTACCAAGGAACAACAGGAACAAGAAAATAAGGAAATACACAGAATTAACAAACGATTGTGACAATGACCCTACGCCAAGACGTCAATGAGCCGTCGTTACGAAGAGACTGTGCGATCGATTCGAAAACGTATCAACGTTTCTATAAATTTATTCGTTAGAAATAACAAATATCTCATTGCGTCGAATATTGACTCTTTGCGTGGACCAATTTGTTTCTCTATATCGATGTCTTTACTCTTAATATTATAAGCAGAATCGTTCTTGATCTAAATATTTCATGAGATCATTCAAGAATTTCCAGTGTTTAAACATTGGAGGATGCGTTGTTAAGCGTCGACAGCAAGGAGTTAATATTAAATATCTCGGTGTTTTATTGTGTATAGATTTAGATTTAGCCGCTTACAGATTCGTTCATGAAATTCTGTTCACTTCAAATTACACTGCCGTCTTGAACGAGTCGAGTCGAGTAGAGTAATTGAAGCATGTAAAGCACCGGGTTTAACGTCGCGTCGATCGCATGGTCTCTAAAAAAGAAAAAAATTATATGTGTGAACGTTCTTCGAGCGAACAAGCGACTCGACGAAACGATTCGTCAGAATTTCGAGCACTAAACAACGCCATATGTAAATGCCAAACGACAATTTCTTCGAATGGCCCGTGAAGTTTGAACGTTACACTCTGTCACGTTCGTTCGAATTTCACGATTCATCGTCGTCCTCGATCTTGCCGAGGATCGTTCGGTAATTGTAAGGTAAAAATCCTGAGGCTAACTTCCATTTAAATTCCCATTAACGGGAACAGTGATTTCTTGAGGATGGAAGATAGTTTCTTGGCAAGATCGTCGTCACAAAATACTCTATGTAAATGGTCCTTTAAGTAGACGTTCTTCGTTTCTTACTATTAACTTTATCGTGTAATTTACCGATGTATAAGCACCTAGAGGAATATTTACACGTCGCATAGAGGCGTTGTAAGCGTTATGTTGAATCTACGCGACGCGAGAATATTTTTGGTGAACAGATGCAACATCCGCTGTGGTTGATAGATTTTCAATATTTTTTTTTTCCTCTTTTTTTTTTTTTAATGGCGAAAGAATAAGATTATCTGCTAGTTAGATTCGTTGTTTGTAAGTTATAGAGCGTTTAAGGGATAATAAAAACCTCTTCGAATGAAAGTCTTTTTGAGAGCTTTAGTGTCTTTAGAGGGAAGCAACCCCTTTGCGGTAGGACCACGTTCAAAGGTGCAATGAATATCTGATTTCTGATAGGGAACTCGGTTGATAAGCTACGCAGTGAACCGCAAAGGGTTAATGTAACGAGTTATAAGCACGTTTCAAGTTTTACATTTAGATACTTTAGGGAGTTGAATCGTCGACTGACAAAAAGCTATTTAACTTGGATCCTGAAACGTCTTACAGTTTCAGTATCCATCAGAAATGGACTTCTACCGTTTGGTATCTGAAACTTCTTCTTCGTAGATTCAATTTCGACGATGTTTCCCACGTGCTTTCGATTGAACTGTAGACAATACCGTGCTACAGAAACACGTAAGGATGTTGCATTATCGTAGAGAAATTGTTCGTCGTAGTCGTTGCCAGGCGAACAGCGAGTTTTAATGTTAACATTGTACGGTAGATAACGCCGCCCATGCTACTGTCTTTGATCGACTGTTAGCTGATTGCCAAAAGACGAAAAACAAAAAACAGCAAAAAAAAAAAAAGAAATGTACTTCCCTCTTGTTGTATAAAGATGCGAGAACGTGGGAGCACAAAATCATTCGAGTCTTTTTAACGATAACGATAGCAAGGAGTAAATGAGGATCGCGTGAAAGGGAAACATATTTCTGAATGACTGTTCAATAATGTAAGGAGAGATGAGAGAAAGAAAGAAATTGACGAAAGTAAGAAGACGATTTTCCGCTCTATCATTAATGTATTTACGTACACAATTTAGCATAGTGGAAAATAAGCTAACGTTTTTAGCGTAATATCGACGTTCAAAGGACGCAATATCATCGTCATCGTATGTACGGAAACTAGGGATGTGCGAGAACCCAATAGTACGGGGCTCGGGCGGACTCGGAAAAAATCGGGCGGGCTCGGGCGGGTCCGACTTTTTCGGGTTCGGTCGGGCTCAGTCGGGCTGATTCGAACGAGCTCCTGTGGGCCGCGGCCCACGACCCAACTCTCATGTACTTGTTAATACTTGCAATAAGCATGTGCAAAATCTATTTTGTATAAAATGAATATACAGGTGACATGGATTTTTCCACATAATAAAAATTATCTTATTCCAAAATTCCATATAAAACAGATTATGCACATGCTTATTGCAAGTATTAACGAATACATGAGAGCGGAAGCTCGTCCGGATCAGCCCGACTGAGCCCGATCGAACCCGAAAAAGTCGGGCTACCCGATTGCATGGATGTATCGGACCCGCCCGAGTCCGCACGATGTTTTTCGAACCGACCCGACTAGTCGGGTTCCACATCACTAATGGAAACCAAGGAACCGTGATGTTTCGTTACTATTTCTCTGTTATTTTATTTCTCTGTAAAGGAAGAAGGAGAGAAAGGTACAGGAACGTAATAATCGAATTACTGTGTCGTCTCTATTTTATCCGGTGGACTATATTAACTAATGTCTCGTATAGTGTATGTAACTAGCCGGAGAACGAGTGCCGTGTGAACATTCGTGTGATAAGCACGGGTGATGAAAATTGTAATCTTACATGCCGTTGGAAGGCATCCCGCGAACCCTTTTTTCTGGTGCTATTTTTATATGGAAAAACGTAGCGATGATTTGATACTAGGCACTCCTTCTCTACGTTCAGAGACGCGAAAAGTAAAGTTTAAGGCGTGCGAAAAAAAAGAAAGAAAACTCTTTTTACTGCCTTTTGGGAAAAAAAAACGACGGAACATAAGTTGAAATTTTTGAAGACTTATAGCAGTCGACTCTCCCATTGATAGTTTAGATTCTTTTTCAAATTGTATTTAGTTCCATGAATGCACCCAGGCTTCTGACAAAATAATCATGTATATTATTGTAAAATTTTACTTGTAGTAGTCTTCGCTAAAGAGTAGCCAAACAATTATTAAACCTTAGTCGTTTTCTGACAGATTTGAAAATGACAAATTAAACTGTGTTTAAGTTGAAAGCGTTAACTATCGATGGGTGACATGTGTACGAGTTTTTGATGATTTCAATGTAGATGTATTTATATTTTCAAGAGTATCGTTCGAGAGTTTCCTTGGATTCTCGTGTCTGCTCAATCTTTTGGACTCCTTTGTCCTTCGTTTCTTTCGCTGAACTTCAGCAAGCCATTCCATCGGAATTGTTTTTAGAAAATTGCATCGAATGATCGAGGAAATTTAATCCCGTGCAATTTTCGAAAAATCCATTCTGTTCCGAAGAATGTCGAATCTTTGATCGGAGATGTGCAAGTATGCGTATGTGGTGTATGCCATTGATTATGGTGTTTTTACAATTCACCGATTGTGTTTGTTAAAATTTAATTATTATTGCTATTACGATGATTATTAATATTATTATTAGATTATTATTATAAAATGAGTGTATCACAGTTTAAATATATCTATTTTATATTAAATCATTAACGGTACGTGTTAATGTCATTCGTATAGAATTTTTCACGCAAATATTTCTCGTACGTCTATCTATCAAAATTCATACACATAATTTGTGTACACATATCAAACACGTTAGTATTTACTGTACGAATATTTACTGTACGATAAGGACACTTTTGATAATGCAACGATAACGTCGGCCAAAAATCTCTCGATTTTCATCATCAGCAATTAATCCTGTTATCTTTACCCCATTTACGCATTACTCGAATAATTTGCTCCACTTGTGAATTAGAAGTGTTCTTTAGAAGTTGGATAATTTCGGGTAACAGCTCCCTGTAAAAAAAAAATAGATAAAGGAACTATCACAAAAGGATAATCGAGGCTGAAGGAACATACTTTGGTTGTCTATCAGCCACAATATACTGAAACGTTCCACAACAAGCACCGCGTTTCCCTTCCCAATTTTCTGGACTAGGATCCATACGTTCTAACATATCAAACGCTTTAGCAGCATACCAAAATTCACCAACTTTGTAACAGTCATTCGCTATTAATTGTAATAGATTAAATGACTCTGTTGAGGTATCCATTTTCAAGTACAAATCCCAAGCCAGTTGTGGTTTCTTATTCATTATATCTGCAGCAAAAGAATGCGAATGATATATTGGTAGGATCTAATATAATACTATACTACTCACAGCAATGTGCCAAGAGGCTGATATAGATGTAATCATTTTTATATCTTTCATTTCTAACGTTCTGGAAAGCCTCTTCAGCCTCCTTAAAGTAACCTGCCGCGGCTCGTGCCTGGGCGTAATTAAAATTAAAGTTGTCCTCGTTAGAAAAGTATGTCTTGATGGAGCTTAGATATACTAAGACATCTTCGAATTGACGGTATAGAAAGAAACAAGAAGCCATACATTGTCTACCAGGTATGGTGTCACACTCTGATGCAGAGGAACCCACTAGTTGAAAATACTGTTGTGCAGTTTTTATATTGTCACGCTGAAAAATAATTCTACTATTAATTTCTTCAATTAATTAACAAAATATTGATTTCTGTTGAAGCTTACGGAATTAGTTTCTTGTCCCATCACTGCATTAACTATTCCTTTTAAGATGTATTCTTGTGGCACAGCTGGCTCGAGATCTTTAATTAATTCAAACGCTTCTCGCACGTCGTCTTGTTTCAAATAATATATTACTAAATTGAGCCTAGCCTCTGGTATAACATCCACTAAATTCGGTAGAATTTGTAAGGCACCTTCTCCACCTTTAAATACCTGCAAACATTCATTTTTATTATACTTCTTAAGACTAGGTAAATTCAAATTGTTACGTACAACTGTGTTGTGTCTTATCAAGTCATGACTGAAGCTGAAGGAATTGGACATTTTTTCTATTAATTGTTTCATTTCATTCTGTGCAGCTGTACCATTGTACAGTCGAAAATGATTGCATGCTTTTAGATTAATTGCAATTGCACTGTCAGGATACTTCTGCAAGTAAACTTGAAGAACTTCTTGAGCTGCATCATAGTAGTCTAGTTTGTAATAACACAAAGCAACATACACATTTAATGCAAAATATTCCCTGCAAAAGAAAGATAATATTTATTTTTGAATATGTGTAGTAATTCAATAGTAAATTTAGAGAAACCATGTTGGAAGTTGTAGGATTAGGAAGAAGGTGGGTACCTGGAATCATGCAACACTCTAATTAAACGGATATCTGATTTTCTGTTAATCATATTCTCATCGATACTATCTGAACTATCACTGTCTGAATCCCTAAATAATAACGTGATTTAGATTATCAAAATTCTACCTACTTATCAGAAAAGATAAAAAATGTAACAACCTGTTATCTAATAGAATCTTTTTATATACATCAATTGCCTCTTGATAGTGAGCTCTAAGATAATGAATAGATGCCAAACATAGTTGATCCTCGATTACATCCTCCAGCATATGATTGTACTCCATTAATTTTGGTTCGTTGCCCATTTTATGAGCTAAATGGAATAATAGTCTATTCTTCAGTTTACTGTATGGAGCATCCTCCAAAATTTGTTGCGATTCAGGGTACATTCCAAGATAGAAATAACAACATGCTAAATTTGTGGATACATATGTTGGAACTTGATCTTTCTTCCTCAAATTTTCGTATATCGTTGCTGCACGTTTGTAGTCGCCTAGGTGGAAAGTACAATAACCCATCCATAGTTCAGAGTTTAAATTGTTCTCTGAAGCATTGTTGAATTCTAAGAGCGTTAAAGCACCGGTATAATCACGCTTCTCCAAGAACTCTTCTAATTTAGGAATCTTTTTCTCTGATGCTGATTTTTTCACTCCCTCAGAAGAGACTGGTTTAGCTCTTGACAATATCTGTTACAGTTTAAAATGATTTTTAGAATATTAATAATAGTAACAATTAAAAAATGAAAATACAGCACACAATGTAATGTTTACCATTTTTAGGCATCTGTTGCTAACAGATACATCAATATATTGATTACTATGAAGGATTGAAAACGTAAAATATACAGTGAAATAAATTGTACATACATACTTACGCTAAAATCTTATTTCTACGAAAAGGAATTTTTTAATCGTAACACAATCCTTCTATTAAAAATATCTGTGAAAATCCTTATTTTATGTTGAATAGTTTCAAATTAAATTCTTCGATTATTATCTGTAGATGTCGCTTTAGTTAGTAGCGGTAGAATTTAAATAATAGTTTTATTCAAAATTTGGCAATGTTTTATTTTTTTGCATTATTTCTACAAGAATATGTATATAAGAAATTCAAGTTTATGTCATGAAATATTTATATTTGTATTATTAAATTTGAACTAAATGTTTATAACAATGAATATTTCATCGGTAAAAAATGTTTGTGAAAATGTGTCCATCTTGAGGCTTGACAAATTTAAAAATAATTTTAATTGCATTATTCTAAGCTTCCGTAAGAATTATCTCTCTTTAAATTGATGTTTCAAAACATGATATAAATCAGAATGCGGCCGACTGTCGTCGAGGTTACATCGCCGGTGGTGCTTATACATTTCTTATCGTAATGTTGGAAGGTGTCAAACATGTTTTATTAGTGCTTTCTGGTAAAGGTGGTGTTGGGAAATCAACAGTTAGCACACAATTGGCCCTTGCACTCAAGGAGTCAGGATTTCGAGTGAGTTCATTTATTTTCTATTGTTTTAGGTTAGATTGCTTACTTGTCAAAAATGTTATAGGTAGGTTTACTAGATGTTGATCTATGCGGACCCAGCGTACCTTACCTGTTAAACTTGGAGGGCAGAGATGTTCATCAGTCTTCTGATGGGTACATAACGTATCTTCTATAAAAAGATGTTTCTTTGACACATAAATTCATTCTAAAATTTTTAACTGATACTCATGCGTTTCTTCAATTTTTGTATATAATATACTGTATTGAATAGGAACTGTATTTAATTGTTGATACTTTCTTAATATTAACATTATTTTATTATTTTAGATGGATCCCAGTGTTTGCAGACAAAGAACAAAAGCTGGCTGTCATGTCGATAGGATTTTTATTAAAAAATCAAAATGATAGCGTCGTTTGGAGAGGTCCAAAAAAAACTGGAATGATTAAACAATTTTTAAACGATGTTGTTTGGCAAGATATCGATTATTTGATCATTGACACACCACCAGGAACATCAGATGAGCATATCACAGTAATGGAAAACTTGAGGTAACATTAGATTTTGTTTCAGATTATTTTTATTCACTTATCATTTTACATATATGTTTCTGACATATAATAGAAAACAATACGATGTTTTGTTCTGTAAATCTCTAGTTAGAGTGTCATGTGCTTTTGGCTGTTCACATGTGACTATGATTAATAATCATGTGATGTTCAAACGAAACATAACTCTAGGTAGATAAGCGATTGGTCATAAGATTGATAAGCTCAGACATTTCTTTGAAACGTATACTGGCATGAAGAAATATTACTAGTACTAAAGTGATATAATGATTTTTTATTATAATTAAGAAATAATATGTTACAGGAATGTTAAATGTGATGGTGCACTTATAGTAACTACCCCGCAAGCAGTTGCAGTGGATGATGTCTTGAGGGAAATAACATTTTGTAGAAAAACTGGCATTCACATATTTGGTATAGTCGAAAATATGAGTGGTTTTGTCTGTCCATCTTGTTCGGTTTGTATACAGTGTCTAAGCTATTTGTATTGTAAAACTAGATTTCATTCTCTGTACAAAGAATAACAATTTTAGGAATGTACAAATATATTTTCGGCGGGTGGAGGAATAGCTCTTTCGAAAATGGTAAATGTACCATTTCTAGCAAAAGTGCCCATTGATCCTCAAGTTGGTAAACTAGCAGAAACAGGTCAGAGTGTTCTGGTGACATTACCGGATAGTCAAGTAGCGCAGGTGTTTCGGAAACTAGTCGAAGAACTTACCAAGAGCAAAGAAGCATAGGAGTGAACGTTTGAATTATACAACTCTAGAACTTCTTCTGAAATACAATACTTGCTCATAATTTTACAGTTCACTTTGGTCCTTTGAGAGCAGTAATGTAATGCATTTTTTTATTGTGTTATGGTAGGTGACATAAATTAATTTCGGTAAACACGTAGTTCATTATGGAAAATATATATGTATTTCATGACAGTGTAGCATACACGTAACATTGTAAAATATTTATATTTTATACACATAATCTATGAGATTGAGAAAAAAAGATTAATCTAATCGCATTTTATACAAAAGAGGTACAGTGTACAGGTATAAATATAACGATTTTTGTATAATACCACATGGACATATTATACTGTATCAGGGTTAACGGGAACATGTGAATATATTTTGAATCTTTTGTACAAAACTGTGAATAGATCAATGTATTGTTGTATAATATATATACATTGAAATCTTTGTAAATTTACGTATCGTTCTATTTACAGTCTAAAAAGACTAATTGTTACCTAATTAATTACAGTTTTTAAATGCTGCGCACATATTTTCAAAAATAATAAAAAGAATATATATTTTCCTCGTACCGTAATGTTAGTTATTTGAGGAATAGCTAAAATTATTGGTTCGATATTCGTTTCTCGTAAGCTGTCCAAAGTTCCTTTTTATATTCCAGCGTTGCAGCTAATTTATCTTGTGCTTCGGTAATACCTCTACCGACTACAGTTAAATCGGCCCCAGAATTTATAACCGATTCTGGAGTATTGTATTGCTGTCCTAAATTATCGGAACTTTTCGACAACTTTACTCCAGGTGTCAATTGAACAAGTCCTATAGTCGAGAAAATATTTGATTGACAAACGACACCGGTTACCATGTCTGAACTTTGCGCGATGGATACCGCGTTTTGTGCGTATTCACCGCTCGTCAAAGCACCCTTGGAAGACATTTCTGCTAATATAAAAATACCACGTGGTTCAGTTACATGTTTCAAACCCTGTTTTAAACCGTCGATGATACTTTGACCAGCAACGGCATGTACTGTAACAATATCTGCCCATTCTACTATTCTATAAATGCCTTTCTCATATTGCAAGGATACTGTGTTACCGATATCGGCAAACTTTCTATCCTCCATCACTAAGAAATCGTGTTTTTTAGCTAATTCCTTCAAGCGCTTTATAAAATCGTTATTAAAATCTTCTATTATATCAACATGCGTTTTTAAAACCACAATGTGCGGTCCTATTAAGTCTGCCAACTCTAAAATCGCGTCCACTTTAGTCAAATCCACTGCTAAACATAGAGTGGATTGTTTTGCTTCCATTAAATTAAAAAGCTTGGTTGCAATTTCATTTTTAGCTTTGGTTGCACGAACGTGAAACGGGGTCTTTAATCGTTTTTCTGGAACGTCTAAAATGAAAAATTTATGTTATTAAAGTTTAATCAATACTGTTTGTTAGAATAACAATTTTTACCTTGAACAAAAACAATAGGTGCTTGGTATTTCAACAAATAGTCAGTTACTTCTTTTACAATGTATGGTTTGATTTTATTAGTCTCTAGAAGGTATGCCATCAATCTAGTAACTGTGAACAGACTTTTCATTTGAATTCCATGATTTTCAATGTTCTTTTTACCACCCTGTTCCCTGTCAATTACTACAAGAGTTTTTGTTACTTTTAAACCTTCTTTTCTTAGAGTTTGTACAGTTTCTAAGATACTGCTACCACTAGTAACCACATCCTCAATAATTATACAGTGGTCTCCTTGCTTAAAATGACCTTCTACCATCTTTTTTGTACCATATGTTTTTGCTTCTTTCCTTTTAATCAACATAGGAATGTCAGTATCAACAGATATTAAAGTGGCTATTGGTAAAGCTGTATAGGGAACACCACAAATCTGATCTACTTTCGAACAGTCTTCTGAAAGTTTCCATAATGTTTTAGCCAAACGAGCCTACATAACATACAATAGTAAATATAAATTTTAATTAAATTTTTATATAAATGTAACAAATGCTTGTAACTAGCGAACTGACAAACCTTACCATTACTTTTGGATACGAGATTATTACTCGTAAATCAAAGTACACTGGAGTTTTTAAACCGATTTTAGTTTCAAATTCTCCAAACTTTAATGCATTTATTTCGTAAAGTGAAACAGCCAATTCTTTTAATTCAGCATCCATTGTGTATAAAGTTTTTGACATATTCGTGTTTTTATTATAAATCCACAATTTGGAAAAATAACCCTAACATGAAAGGATATTGCACTAATTATGGATGACTGGATATGTTAATGATAAAATATTTTTATTCTTTTACACTAAAATTGTTTGTATACAATTTTGTATACAAAATATAGGTTAGTATCACATTTGTGGATTATGTAATTAAGCAAAAAATCGAGTATTCATTGAGCGAATAATTTTCACCAATACAATGATGACTTAAGGTAGCGACCGAAAATCGTTTTTTAAAAATACGGCTTACAGGAAGGTGCAATGATCCGGTATAGAAGTTGCGTGGAACGTATGCGCAAGGATAAAATTATGTACTGCGCATGCGCAAGTAGTACAGGGCACGGTCTATATGAATTAGAAACCATTCCGGTCGCGTTTCTTCAGTTGGCCGGTTAAAATGTTGAGTGCCGTGTCGAAAGCAGCTGTTGGCTCCCTAAGGGCCGTCAAACCCACCCTTCTTCAAAATGAAGTTGCTAAAATTTCAGGAGCACTGTCAGTGAACAGTAAGTATTACGAAAAAAATAATATTTCGAACTTCATTAATACATTTTCTTTTTTATATTCTTAGCCAGAATTTGTGCTGTGCTTCGTTGTACTGCAATCAGAAAGTTATAATTGTTAGTACTGATCACATTTTATCATCATTTCCTTCTATCTTCATTGAGTTAACATTTTTTCTCTTCGATCGCACATAATTGTCGAGAAGAAGTACTTTATTGATTATATAATCTGTGTTATTCAGCCGAACTGCAGTGGTAATACCACTGTGCCAACATGGCGGCATTAAGGTCACCGACTAATTTTTAAATTTTCTGAAATGATTTATTAATACGATCACAATCTATCACTGATAATATGAAATCTATACAAATTCTATTTATCCTTTTTGAATATTAATATCTACAGTACAACCAATTTTTTTCACCTTTTTTGTACCACTATCACTGATGTCTCGTGGACAAGACGTGCTTTTCGATACAAATTTCTTAGGCATCGTACACAAACGATTATTAATGTTTATTGTAATAAAATTTCAATGGTTATAAAGATTCATATAACAAAGAATGTCATAATTTATTTTTTTTTATGAAATGTACACCCAGTTTGTATTATGTAACTTACTTTGATCAGAATTATCTAATATTTTGTTAAGTTTTTGTTGATATTACCTGCGCTTATTTTTACATAAGTTTATTATTTATAAAATTCAACTAGATACTAATTGAATCAAAAATGAATATTACATACTTTTTGATATGATGTTTATTTATTAATTATTAGGTAGGGATTATGCCAAAGCTGCTAACTCTAAGGGTGGTGCCCAAGGAAAAGTTGTGGCTGTCATTGGTGCTGTTGTTGATGTACAATTTGACGATTATCTTCCACCAATTCTGAATGCCCTGGAAGTCCAAAATCGCTCTCCCAGGCTGGTCCTTGAGATAGCTCAGCATCTGGGAGAGAACACAGTACGAACCATTGCTATGGATGGTAATTTCATTTAAAATTTTTATAAAACATATGTAACCCAATATGATTGAAACTTGAAATGAATATGAATTAATATTTTCTCTTAACTATTCTACAGTTTGTAATAATTTGATGCAAATATATAGGTACCGAAGGTCTGGTACGCGGTCATATTGTTTTGGATTCTGGATACCCTATTCGTATCCCTGTTGGTGCAGAGACTTTGGGTCGCATCATTAATGTTATTGGTGAACCAATTGATGAACGTGGACCCATTCCTACTGACAAACTTGCAGCCATTCATGCTGATGCTCCCGAATTCGTAGACATGTCTGTAGAGCAGGAGATTCTGGTAACTGGAATTAAAGTTGTAGATCTCCTTGCTCCTTACGCCAAGGGAGGAAAGATTGGTAAAATTTCTTTTATATAACTGTATTCAACGACTTATTTTACAAACATTAATTAATATTTATTAAATTAAATAGGTTTGTTCGGCGGCGCCGGTGTCGGTAAAACTGTATTGATTATGGAGCTGATCAATAACGTAGCCAAAGCCCATGGTGGTTATTCTGTATTTGCTGGCGTGGGTGAGCGTACACGTGAAGGCAACGATTTGTATCATGAAATGATTGAATCTGGTGTAATTTCACTGAAAGATAAGACCTCCAAGGTAGCTCTGGTATATGGACAAATGAACGAACCACCGGGCGCTCGCGCTCGTGTTGCCTTGACTGGTTTAACCGTTGCCGAATATTTCCGTGATCAAGAAGGACAAGATGTACTGCTGTTTATTGATAACATTTTCAGGTTTACTCAGGCTGGTTCGGAAGTACGTTTTAACGTACTCGGCTATATTACAATTACAAAATCAAAATCCTACTAATCGTTTATTATCTTTTATAAGGTATCGGCTTTGTTGGGTCGTATTCCATCAGCTGTAGGTTATCAGCCAACTTTGGCAACTGATATGGGTAGTATGCAGGAGCGTATTACGACAACGAAAAAGGGATCTATCACATCTGTGCAGGCTATTTATGTACCTGCTGATGACTTGACAGATCCCGCACCCGCCACCACCTTTGCTCATTTGGACGCTACTACCGTGTTGTCTCGAGCTATTGCCGAACTTGGTAACTACGCACAATAGTTCTTATATTTAATAAGTTTTTAATAAAAATCGATAAATGTTTTAGATAAAATTTAAATTTTTCTGCGATAACATTTAGGTATCTATCCTGCTGTCGACCCCCTCGATTCTACTTCCCGTATCATGGACCCCAACATCATCGGTGCTGAGCATTACAACGTTGCTCGTGGTGTGCAGAAAATTCTGCAAGATTACAAATCACTTCAAGATATTATTGCTATCTTAGGTATGGACGAATTGTCCGAAGAAGACAAACTCACTGTAGCGCGCGCGCGTAAGATTCAGAGGTTCTTGTCTCAACCATTCCAGGTATGTAAGCGTATGGTTGTTCATATTAAAGTTTTTTTTGGTATTATTTTAATAATCCTTTTTTTTTTCAGGTTGCCGAGGTGTTCACCGGTCATGCCGGCAAATTAGTACCACTACAAGAAACTATTAAAGGATTCCAAAAAATCTTAGGTGGTGAATACGATCATCTGCCAGAAGTCGCATTCTATATGGTCGGGCCAATCGAAGAAGTAGTAGCAAAGGCAGAAACATTGGCCAAACAATAAATGAACTCGCGTTCATCGTAATCGTGTCATTAAAAAAATAATTAAAACGATCTTCTAATAATACAAGCCTATTTCTTTTATATCTATTATAGTGTTGGCTTCTATCCAGGAGTATAAGTATCTTCGATCAAAGTTGCTGAACGAAAATTAGAAGATTGTTTTTTGTTAATCAGAAATTCACAAGAAGGCATACAAAATTGTTGAGAACATCGTGAACAATTTTGTATAAATTTATATAATTCTGTTCACTGATGTTTTCAGTATTCATAAGTCGAGTCAGTAAATCACATTGTTATTAACATATACTTTAACATTTTAGTATATGTTAGGAGGTAATAAAAATTTTACAAAAACATATGGATGTATGTACAGTTTGAAAGATCCTTCGTTTTTGTGTAACACTTTTAATTCAGTAAGGAAATAGACATACAAATTCCTTTTTAGGTATACAAAAATATTCACATCTCTAAAATACCGCGATATCACATAATACTGTTAACTCTTAATATAAATAATGTTCAAGTTGTGTCATGCCTTATTATCAAAATTAAGCATCGGTTTTTCTAATTTATAAATACCTTTCAGAATCTGAAATGTAAAATAACCTCATTTAGTATAAAAATAATCTCTGCGTATATAATTCGGAAACATTAATAATAATATAACCTTCCACTGCTCCATGTCCAGAGAAATCACATTTTGAATATTAGGTGTATTCTCTAGTTTTGTTCGAGCTATTATTTCTTTGGTACATGGTTGAACAACAAGCATATTAGAGTCATCTGTTAAAAAAGGAATTTTTAAATAAGCGCGACAGAATAGGAATTAGTTTTTTCACTAATTAAATCAAGTGACGATACCTTTTGTTATTTTAACTTTTCCATCTCGAACGAGAAAAGATACTTGCAAAATATTTTCAACACTTTTTCCAAAATCATTTGGATGTAAAACTAGTCGAAAGAAATCAATTGGTTTACGGTGAGTCTTACAGTATCGAGAGATAAATTGTTGCACTCGTACGGTTTGTTCTAAACCTTCTTCTTCTTTATTAACTGCTACAACATTATCTGGTCTTTTTATTTGTGCTTGAGCTTCTTTAGCTGCTGGCTTTTTTCTAATAATTTCCTTCCTTTCCAATGGTGCTAAAGTACCTACACCCATAAAAGAAATATGTAAAACATTTATTTCTTAGCATAATTATACACATTTTATCAACGGAATAAAACCTAGTAATGTGCTATACTGGGGTGTTCTTTTGAAACATTTTGTAACTTTTGCTTCTAAAAGTGACCAGTCTGGTGTTTCTGATTCAATATCCGGAAGCTGTTTTACATATTTTACCTAAGTCAAACATGTATTCAGTAAATATCAGATAAATAATTAACTACAGTAAGAATAAAAATAATATGTATAATATTTTTATACCACTCTTTTAGCAAATTCTACATGATTATATGAGGACATGCGTTTTGTTAAAGACCTGGTGCATTGTTTTAAAACTTTAGACGACATGTTCACTACTTCAGAATCTAATAATACTTCTTCTTGATTATGTACTGAAAATAACATACCATAAAATAAGAATACATATTTGAAAACATGTACAACATATAGAAATATCTAAACACTATGTACTTTTTTCTTCTATATTTGTTTCATGGTTGATATCATCTGTTTGTTCCATGTATGATTCTAACTGTTGTATAGTGTTATCAGTGACTGTCTCTTCTGTAAAATATAAATTAACTATAAGATTTATTTCCGTTATAGTGTATAATACATTACTATAAGTAATAGATTGAAACCTTACGAAGAACTTCAGTTTCAGTTATAATTTTTCTTAAAATTTCTTTCCGTTCTTGGGGTGATCGTCGGGGTGATCGTCTGAGCGATCCGTTCGTGGTAGAATTGTTTCTGGACATTCTTTTCCGCTGAACAATTGTATTAACAGTAACGTATAACAATTAAATTAAAAAATTAACAATGATTCTTTTGTTTCTATTTAGCACTGGCGAAAATATTCAATATTTGTAAAAGAACAAAATTCAAAGTGCTTCGTTACTCTTAATGTTAATATATTATAAATACAGAAACAATTATTTTAAATAGTTACAATTAACGTTAAATAAAACAATTTAAATTTTCTTTATTGTTAATATAATGACAACAATTATAAGTACTGTACTTTTCACGAGAGAATAGTATCATTTTGCGCAGCTCGACTGAGCTCAGAAAGTTCCCCCACCAATAGCGCTACCCCACCATAATTTACTTCCCATTACATTCGCCATATACACGGTGGATAAAATATACTAATATAGGAACGGCTTATTATAGGGCAGAGGTAGTGAATTATAATTCACAAGTTTATGATCACCGGATATACCTTGGTAGCGGAGCGTGGCAGAACCAATCAGAGCCAACACGCGCAACAGAACCAAAATTCGTTCATCCGACGGTACTATTCTCTTATGAAAAATATATACATACAATACTCTACTTTCATGAGAAGTTAACGAGTCAAGGTCACGTTCTCATTTTATTCCATTTCTCTAGGTATCATACGCATTATCCTTATTGGTTACAGTCGGTGACTAAGGATAATGACAAACATAATTATCAGTAAACCTAGCATTAACTGACATTAACCTTTCGTCACTATTACAGTTCACCAGAGTCCATAACTGCGAAAAGACCAGTTTTCGTTCTTCGCGCTTCTCCAGTGCGCATCTTCGCCCTGATTGGCGATACTTCCAAACGAAAGGAAAGCGATTAGCAGAGAGCTCGCTGCGTTCCCCCACCATCTTCCAACCTGCGCGTCGCAGTTATGGACTCTGGTGAACTGCAGTATATATACTAATATTTTCGAACTGATGTACATGGTTAACATGATTGTGCTTTTATACAATTCCTTCCAAAATAAGGTTTTCATGTAATAGATTTCCTATAATTGTTTTTTTAATTTACTGATTTAAAATACAAGTGTCAAAACGGGACGTGAGAAAGCAATTCGCAGCATATAAATAAGCGAAACGCATCCCTGAAAAAGGTTTTGACAGTTCATGGTTACGAACATTCGTGAGTTTTGATTCAGTTGAAGAATTTTAATAAAAACGGGCATGGAAAATACTTCAAATAAGGTATTACATTTCATTCCTGAATAAAAAAAAAAAAAACATTAGACGTTAACCGAATGAAATTAATTTATAGGAAGAACAAAATAACCAGGATGATTCAGACTCGGAAATAGACGAAGTAGAACCAAGGCTGAAATATGTTAGGATGCGAAATGATTTGGAGAATATATTGCAAAATGATGCAGCTAGTTGCATTGCAGTGCATCCCAAGGTGTGAAATATAATTACCTAATATTTGCACAAATTTTTTGGTGAAGCTGATTCAATGCTTTCATGCTATGGAGGTTAAGCCACTTTCTTTAGATCATACAATAAAAGTTTTGTACAGTACTTTTCAAGTACATTTGATTCAAACGAGTCATTTGATGCTGTAACTTATAAACTATTTATGTTATAACAATTACATATTATAGCAATTAAATTTTTTAGTTCCTATGCCTGGGCACCCATTGGGGTAAAATACACCTTTTAGACCATCAGGGAAATAATATCCAATCCAAAAGTCTACAGGCACACACAGTTGCTGTCAACCAAATTTCTATAGATCACAATGGAGATTTTATTGCATCCTGCAGCGATGATGGAAAGGTTTTTATATATGGTCTTTATAGTACTGAAAATAACCATAATATGAGTATGGGTAGATCAGTCAAAAGTATAGCTATAGATCCAAATTATTATAAAAGCAGTAGTGGAAGAAGATTTATTACAGGTAGTTATTTTGATTTATCCCTTCTTAAATCCATTCGAGCAACTAATATCAGTACTTTCAGGAGATGATAAATTGGCTTTGTATGAGAAAACCTTTTTATCCAGAATGAAAGTAACTGTATTGTGCGAAGCAGAAGGTGGAGTAAGATCAGTTGCATGGATTGGACATTTTGTAGCTTGGGCATCTGACATTGGAGTTAGGGTTTATGATTTAAATGCCAGATGTTCACTAGGTCTTATTAAGTGGTCTAGGTCTGCCGAGTGAGTAAAAGAATGATGTATAATATTTGTTTAAAATATTAGAAGTTTCCAAGAGTGGAATAATCCTTAATTAGATAATTCTATTTCAGCGCATTACCAGAACATTATCGATGTAATCTTCGATGGTCAGACGACCGAACGTTATTAATTGGTTGGGTTGACATAGTACGAATTTGTCAAATTAGAAAAAGATCGATACAAGAGATGGTGAATAGAGATCTGCCAGAATATGTTGTAGATCCAGGTATAAAGTTTGCGATGAAATGTGAACAAACAATGAGAATGCAATGAATAATAGTATTTTAATTTTAGTTTCAACTTTTCAAGTGGATTTTTACATTTCTGGTATTGCTCCTTTAGAAAATCAGTTAGTATTATTAGGATGTTTGAAGGAATTTGATGAAAATGGAAAGAGTCAACGACCAATGTTACATGTTGTTGAACCGAAATATCAGGATTTCTCTATTGTTTGTACAAGTTCTCTTACACTTCGTGGTTATAAAGAATATAGTTGCAACGATTATCATTTAGACTGTTTAAAAGAAGAAAACAGGTATTTCATTTAACCGGACTATTTTTATCATATTGATTAAAAATGTTCTTATTTCTATGTATTTATATTTAGGTTTTTTATTGTAAGTCCAAAGGATATTGTTGTAGCTAGTTTATATGATGCTGATGACAGAATTGAATGGCTCTTGAGTCATGGAAAATTTGAACAAGCATTAGAAGCAGTAACAATAAATAATGGCAAAAATTGTAAAAGACACACTTTAGTTAATGTCGGCCGTGTATATTTAGATCATTTGCTAGCTTGCGGAAAATATGATGAAGCAGGAAAATTGTGCTTGAAAATTTTAGGAAAGGATAAAAAATTGTGGGAAGAAGAAGTTAATATTATTAATTAAACTAATTGAACTATGATATTTGGTATTAATTAGGATTTTATTGACGCTATTTTGTTGCAGGTATATAAATTTGCAAGAGTTCATCAATTACGATCAATTTCTTCGTATCTTCCAAGAGGTGACGTGACGTTAGATCCATTAATTTACGAGATGGTTTTGTATGAATATCTGAAAATGGATCCCGACGGATTTCTTCAACTAGTCAAAGAGTGGTCTCCGAAGTTGTATAAAGTTGCAGCTGTTGTAAATGGTGTTCTAGAACACCTTTTACTGCATAATCAACGACAAAACGTGCTTTTAGAGGCTTTAGCTATTTTATATATTCATGATGGAAAATATGACAAAGCATTGGCTATGTACTTAAAGTTGAGGCACAAAGATGTATTTCAACTTATTCAAAAATATCAGCTGTATAATACTGTATATGACATGATAGAAGGTTTAATGGATTTAGACGCAGAACGTGCTATACAATTTTTTTTGGAAAAGGATAAAGATAAAGGATTAGAAAAGAATAGAGTGCCATCTGATATTGTTGTACAAAAATTGCAGCATAATCATCGATATTTATATTTGGTAAGATATATTAAAAAAGTATCTGAAAATAGATATTATAATTCATGTTTCTTAATAATTATACTTTAACAATTATTTGTATCAGTATTTAGATGCATTAGATAAAACGAATATGAAAGATTCAAAAGGCAAATACCATGGACTGTTGGTCCGACTTTATGCCGATTACTCTCGGGATAAATTATTACCACTTTTACGCCGTTCTGATAATTATCCGATTCAGCAAGCGCTAGATATTTGTAGTCAACGACAATTTTATCCGGAAATGGTATATTTGCTCGGTAGAATTGGGAATACTTCCGAAGCTTTAGCACTTATGACGAGAGAACTAAATGATATGGAAAGTGCGATCGCGTTCTGTCAAGAACACGACGATGAAGAATTATGGAAGGATTTAATTAATTATTCCGTAGATAAGCCCAGTAAGTAATAGAAGAAACGGTATAGTTTAGAATTATACTAAATTAATATACTTTCTTTCAGAGGCAATCACATTTCTCCTTCAGAAGATAGGCACATATGTCGATCCCAGGCTTATGGTTAAAAGGATAGATCCAACTCTAGAAATTCCTGGCTTGAAAAATGCTTTAGTTAAAATGATGTGCGATTATAATCTTCAAGTTTCGGTACAAGAAGGTTGCAAAAAAATTTTATCTAGCGATTATTTTAATTTACACGAAAGATTGGTTAAATGCCACCAGAAAGGAATATTTATAGATGGTTGGTACGAAAAACTTATAAATGGAGAAATTATAATGGTGATATTTGTATTAATGATTATGATACTTTTCTTCATTAGATGATCAAATGTGTGGAGCTTGCCATAGGAAAATAATTGTAAGAGGTATCTAATAAAATAATATAAGTATGCTCAAACTCAACACTAGCTTTATTTTGATTATGTTATTTATTACAGAACCAAGGAATTTAGTTGTATTTTATTGTAAACATTCGTTTCACGAAGATTGTTTACCGAACTTCGAAGTAGTGGTACGTATCTTAGTTTTAGACAATGTGTACAGTATTTGATACAATTTAACATATTTTAATTTTATTTCCCAGGAAAATTGCGTTATATGTAATTCACAAAAGGATTCATCACCAGGCAAAAAATGATACAGGTAAAATTTAAGCAGTTACCAGATCTTTATAAAAAATGTTACATCATGTGTGTATAAATTTTAATGTTTCAATTTTTGTAATATTTTATCAATGGCAGAACATTTTCTACATATTTTGAATGTTCTAAGACATCCTGGACATTTAGGAGAAGGCTAAAAATTAAAGTAATTGAATAATCATAACGTAAAATTTCAACGTAAATATAATAAAATTTTACTTGATAGTTGTAAATTTTCATAGTTTCACATCGATCGCAAGTTTTCTCCTGTTCTGGAAGAGTGGTATCGTAGACGATATTTTGTTCTTTTGTACTTATTTCATTTAAAGTATCGGTCTTTTCTTGTACTTCAGTCCTACTGTCATTCGAACTTTCCACACGAGTAGATTGTGCAGAATCATCGGAACTCTAAAATTAAGCTTCGTTTTAATTATTAGCATATTTTAAACTTCAAAAGATTTACCATCATTTCTTGGCATTCCCCTTCAAATTCTGAAGAAGCTTTGTCTAAAACCCCACAAGGTATGAAAAATCCACAGATGTTGCACATAGTTGTACTTGATCTTTCTTCTGCCAGCTGTGATTTTACATCAGTGTCATCATTTTCGTTCAATGTACTGGTCTCCCAAGTCTTAGGATGTTTGGAAAATGCTATGAAATGTTGAATTGTGAAGTCCAACACATTTTCAGGTTTTACTGTGGAGACCAGTAAAATTTAAACAATGTTAATATGTTATTATAACATAGAAATACATTTGAATACAAAGTGTGACCTGTCTGAGAAGTATTGATACAATGTTATTCCAGTTGTCAAACTGATTACCAACTAGCAATGTTTGAACATAATCTGCAATTAGTTGCTTTACTTCTGGGTGGTCAGCTAAGTACTCCTTTTGTTCCGCAGTTTTAGAATACTATTAACGATACAAGGTTTTATCCAAACAAATTACTGTATACATTAAAAATACTTAATACTGTATTTTACTTTCATATCTAAATATATAGAGAACATTTCGATGTCTTCCTCCCAGTGATCTTTTAATGGTGCTTCTATCCTCATTGTTTTTTGTGGAATCTTCGGATCAGCTAATGGATTAATCCTCAAGATATAAGGCACATCCAACCAATTGTGCCGAAGTATTCTACCCTTTGGTGTTAAATAAGTTTTTATAAGATACGTGGTACCATCTTGTTTGCATATTTTACGTTCAATGATATAAACGTCCAAAAAATGACCATCTATTTCCATTTGTTCCATAGGTGTACATGTCTGTTAAAAAACTATTTCATTACCTAAATTTTTTAACATCAGTTTATATTTTCTTACATAACTGGATACAGTAAGATCTCCATCTATGGTAATACTTTCAAAGCATAATGTTCCTTCATAATTTATAATTGCCAAATAACGCATAAGCAGTATATTGACTCCTTCGCTTATTAGTTTATCATTGGAGCAAAAAGATAAATCTTTGGTTTCTGTAGACTTATCGCATGGACAAATGCGCGTTAATTTCACATAATAGTTATTGTCTTCAATGCCCATAAAAATGACTTTTTCGTGAAATCCATTATCATACACAAATCTGAAATTATTATTCACTGTCAATGCTATTCTGGTAAATTTATAATTATGAACTAACTCTGTTCTTTTTTCTTCCAGGCAATGGAATTTTGATGTTGCTGAGCTAGTAACTTTTGACCCACCGAAATGACCGTCGATGGACATCGAAGATTGCACATGTACTAAAAATTCATGAGCTTGAGGCCCGATGGATTCTACCAGAATGCAATAACCGCCTATCGGCTTTGTATTCCTTTCAGGTTCATTTTTTAAACATATTATCAAAGTCTCTCGAAAACATAAAGCTGCTCTTTTTACATTATCTGAAGTACAAAAAAGAAACAGGAATATTTACTTATTATACAAGAATATTAATATTTGTAACATAATATATTTTTTTTTTGACAATATTCTACTGTCTAACAGTGGAAAAAGATTATAGCTTGAAAGGCATGCATATGCTACATTCCAAATACGCCTGATTTAATTAGCGACGAATAAATCTACCCGTTTATATATTATATATTTTTCTATTAGATTTTGTTGTGCGCCATTTTTGTGAATATTTTGTTTGTTTTATTTATATAATATCTTTATTCGTTGTTGAAGAAATTTGGTTAGAACGAATTATGAGGATAAAATGTTAGATGAACATGTTTTATCTACCAAGTTTTTAACAGTTTTTATTGTCATTGAACGATTATTTTATTTGAAATCTGATCGATCATAAGCTCACAACTTGCTGTACATACTAATGTATGCACTGAAATTTTTAAATGAAATTATTATAAGATAAAAGAAATAGTTAAGGTACTTATGTGCAATGAATCCTTACAAATAAAAGAAGTTTCTTACAAATTTATATATTAGTATGTGCAGTAAAAACTCCATAGGATTGTTACAATATCAAATATTCTGTATTTTGTACAAGAACGTGCCATTACTGTATAAAACGATTTTAGTATGTTCCGTAGTACATAAGAAAAATATTTATCGATACACAGTCTTTACATACGTAATATTACAATTGATACCTAGGATATTACACCTAGGTTTCCATGTAAATACTGTTTCTAAGTTACAGCATAAAACAACAATAACATGTAAAATATAATTAATATATAAATTTTTCACGTCGCTCTTAAAACTGTATGTTTGATCATTTTTAGAGTTTTTTTGTGGTGATGCTTATAATTAAAATACGTTTTTGTCTAAACGAATGGAAGTTATTTGACACGTTTATTCAGATTAAAAATAACAAATAGATTACCAATTAGAAATCCAGGGATCCACTTGTTTATATCAAATAATTTACAGGAAATTTCTTTTTCGCTCGACATTACAACTAACTTCTGTAATTCAACAAAGAGAAGTTGGCATCTTTTAATTGCAGTTCAATTTGAAAATATAGCTTGTTTATAAAGTTATGCTGAAATCTATACAAGAAGAAAAATGAGGAGAAGACAATTGGATATTCATATCTGTGAGCTACCGAAGACATCTAATAGCAATTTGCCGAAATTACCGCCAAATGCGAAATTTTACGTTCACTGGAAGAGGAATTTTCAGAAATTCTTTCTCGTGTCTGTGAACCATCCGTTAACACGAAACTTTTTACGTAGTTATGCGGCGATTGCTTTTGAAAAAAGGAGACATGGCCGTTCTTCATTTTGGTGGGTAATACATCCCTGTAGTAGTTTAAGGTAATCCACCTCCATAGTAAAATAGTCTTAATCATAAATTAAATTTATATGTATTCATTTTTGCAGATATTACTGGGATCTTTTAATGACGTTGATTTTTCTGTACACCTTCATATCAATACCGTACATTCTGGCCTTTCATAGAGTAGCTAAAAATGCTGACGCAGAAAGTTGGACTCCTGTATATCCTGCATATATAATTTGCATAATCGACATTGTTCTAAACTTCCTGACTGGATTCAGTTCACCAGACGGTCATGAAATCTTCTTAGATCCCTTTTTGATAATGCGGTAATTTATTTATTTATTCATCCTTTATTTATAATTAATCCCAATATCTAAAATATTCATTTTCATCCAGGCACTATATAAAAGGATTTTTCTTAGTTGATTTTATATCCTCAATTCCATATACGTGGTTTTATGATTATGATATAATAACTCCAGGCCCTAATTCAAATTCTATCCTACTGATTCCTGAATTTTTACCGGTTCTGAAAATTCTACGTATTTATACATTACGTTTTTACATCGGACAAATAATCGCGGTAAGAGATAGCGAGGAATTTTTGAAAATATCAGTAGAAAAGTAAGAGAATCTTTGTTACTTTTCTTTTTTAGAATTTCACAATTTCTCATGCTGAAGAAAAGACTATTTGGTTGGTTCTTCTGACAATGTTAACGTTTCATTGGTGTAGCTGTATAAGCCATATGTTTCCGTTTCTTGTTTTACACGTAACCGGAAGAACCATACAGGTACATTCATGTTTATTCAACTTTATTGTTCAATATAAGATGCAATGTGATTATAATCATTTCAGGAATCAGAAATGTATTATTTGGTTAACAGATTATTTGAGAAGTCTGATGCAGAGATATATTTAATTTATTTTCATATCGGCATGAGTAATTTTTTCGGCTCATGTTTTATCGAGTTTGACTCGTTGGGTAAATCTGACACCGTAATACGTTGTATATTGTTGTTAATAGGAAAAGGATATGTAATTTATTTAATGGGTAATTCATTTACTGTATAATTTATTGCGAGCGTTAAAAGAGTATTTTATGTAATTGTATGGTATATATTACAGTCATAGTATTGCAATTGGTCGAATCAGCGGTAGAACCGGAATTAAAGTATCAAAAAATTATGCACCAGGTAAAAGAATACATCCGTGAGAAAAAACTGCCAGAAAAGCTTAAGCGTAAGCTGATCGATTATTATGAGTTTCGTTTTCAAGGAAGTTATTTCAAAGAAAATGCAATATCTGGCACTTTGTCAAGTAATAGTCAATACATAACAAACTACATATTCTATAAACAATTTTTATTTATCCTGTGTAATTCTCCATTGTTTTGTTTAGACCATTTAAACCAAGAAATCATAATTCATAGTAGCCGTGGATTATTAGATACAGCTACTATTTTGCATTATTTGCCACGTAATGTTATTGGAAGTTTGATGGGTAAGATGTAGAAAAATAGCCTTTATGATCTCATTTTATCACCAGGAATAATTGCAGGAGTTTTGAAACCAGTCATTTATCTTAATGAAGATATTATTTACAAGTGCGACACCGAAGGCGATTGTATGTTCTTTGTAGTTAGCGGTACTGTTGCACTTATTTCGTTTGATGGTTTAGAAGTATGTAAAATTTATTTGATTATTATATGCGATGATTAAATGATATTAAATGTAATTTCTCATTTTCGAGGTATCTCACGAGAAAGACGGAGGATACTTTGGCGAAGCTTCTTTAATTTTTCCGGATCGAAAGAGAATAGTATCTGTAATTGCTCTAGAAATATGCGAATTGTTGCGGCTGTCTCGTCGCGATTTTAAACGTATGTTCTCTCCGACGTCGACTTTTTATAAAAGATTAGAAAAGGTTGCAAAGGAAAGATACCAGGATATTGTACAACTGACATTGAGTAATATGATTAATAAAACAACCGGTACTAAGCAACAAGGACGTTCTGAATCCTTTTCTAATAAGAACATGAAGAGAAATGATGACAGTAAAAGAAATTGAAATGTTAAACAAATTGTTACAGCATGTTTATAACTGTTTCACAGAATTGTGATTTAAATCATATCTCTACGGATTGCATTCGTCCTTATCGGTTACCGTCATTGTCATCTCTATGCGTGCGGCTTCCCAGCTGTTTTCGGTTTTACAAGTTTCGAAGTTTCGGATTTTGAAAAGAAGCTGTGCAATGTAAAATTAAATTTCAATATTAAAATATATACATAATCTTAAGTAACTATTTAATTCAATGTTCTTATGATTTTAATTTGAAATCATTTGAAATCGATTCATTATAGACAGCTGCATGTTCTTAATCATTTTATGTTAATATTATCTTATTTGTTATTGTAATTGCATATAATTTTATTCATTAAAGAAATAATGTAATATCAGTTACTGAATTGAGGTTTAAACAAAATATTAATAGGTTAAGTTTATAGATTTTTGACGTGACTGGTCATATACACGTGACGAGTGTATAGGTACACGTGTCTCATTTTGTTTAAAGAATTAATTGTATAATCTGTTACATTGTTATATTTTAAAAATATGATTCATTGTCCTTTGTATAGAATAAAAACCGACATGGTTGAATTGAAGTGGGAAGAAAAATATGAACTTATCACTAGAAATTTGGCTGAATGGCTTGGTGATGAAAAACTCAAAAGTATTTTGAAAGAACGAGACCTCAAGCTTTATTGGGGTACTGCTACAACTGGTAAACCACACATCGGGTATTTTACACCAATGTCCAAAATAGCAGACTTCTTGAGAGCTGGATCAGAGGTTACAATATTGTTCGCTGATCTTCATGCTTATTTGGATAATATGAAAGCACCTTGGGAACTTTTAGAGCTTCGTACTCAATACTATGAGACAGTTATTAAAGCAATGCTTAAATCTATAGATGTACCTTTGGATAAATTAAAGTTTGTTAAGGGAACAGATTATCAATTATCTAAGTAAGTAATTACCTGTAAATAAAGAAACAATTGTAAAAATGTAGACTGTGAAAACTTTTTCTTATTTCAGAGAGTATACATTAGATGTATATCGCTTAACTTCTACAGTTACCGAGCATGATGCCAAGAAAGCAGGTGCTGAAGTAGTTAAACAGGTTGCAAATCCTTTGCTTTCTGGACTTCTGTATCCAGGATTGCAAGCTTTGGATGAGCAGTATCTCAAAATTGATGCACAATTTGGTGGTGTAGACCAAAGAAAAATATTCACTTTCTCTGAAAAATATTTACCAATGCTTGGGTATGAAAAACGTATCCATTTAATGAATCCCATGAGTATGTACACAGTGTAAAGATATTAGGTATAAAACATATCCTTTAGAGACAGAACGATGCAACACAAATTTTTATTTTAGTTCCTGGATTGGCAGGATCAAAAATGTCTTCTTCTGAAGAAGACTCTAAGATTGATCTTTTAGACAATGCAGCTGCAGTTAAAAAGAAATTAAAAAAGGCATTCTGTGAACCTGGTAATATAACAGACAATGGAGTTCTTTCATTTGCTAAACATGTGATATATCCATTATTAAAAGAAGGGAAATGTTTTAATGTACATAGAGCTGCTGAATTTGGTATGTGTAAATTTTAATGCTTTTCTTTAATTTACCTCCATGTAAGTTTTTACTAACAAGGAATATGTATTTACAGGTGGGGACGTATCATTTCATAACTATGAGGACTTGGAAAATGCATTTGCTAAGGAAGAAATACATCCTGGAGATCTGAAGAATGCAGTTGAAATTTATATTAATCAACTTTTGGATCCAATTAGAAAAGAGTTTGAAGCAGATCCAAAACTGAAAACTTTGGCTAGTAAAGCATATCCTGCACAAAAGCCAAGTAATATTTGATTCACAAGATAACAATTAAATACAGTGTACTTTCTTGTAATAATGTATAATTTGTGTTAAATATTTAGAAGTTCTGGAGGTATTATCACCAGCTAGATTAGACATCAGAGTTGGACAAATAGTTGAAGTATCAAAGCATCCTGATGCTGATTCACTTTATGTGGAGAAAATAGATGTTGGAGACCCTAGTGGACCTCGTACAATAGTCAGTGGGCTTGTGAATTATGTACCATTAGAAGAAATGAAAGACAGAATGGTAGTGATTCTTGCTAACTTGAAACCAGCAACACTCAGAGGCATCCAATCTCACGGAATGGTTTTATGTGCATCGGTGTATGTTTTAATTACGTTTTCTTATATCATACAATTCTCTTTGATAATGTATTTACAATTCAAATAGAGATGAACCTACGAGGCGAGTTGAACCTTTGAGACCTCCTTCGAATAGTAAACCAGGCGATAAAGTTCTCGTGGACGGATACGAAGACGGAACACCGGATGATATATTGAATCCAAAGAAGAAAGTGTGGGAAAAGTTACAGGTATGTTTATTGTGTTTTATATAACGAAACAAAAATGATTACGCGTTCGTCATTTATTAAAATTTTTCATACAGGTCGATCTTGTAGTAAATGGTAGTGGAGAAGCATCTTGGTGTGGGAATCTGTTGCTCACTTCAAGTGGTGGGAAAATTATTACTGACAGTCTTAAGAACGTGGCAATTAAATAATATGCTTCAGATATTTAGGTATTCCAGCAGTTTTATTTTTTATTATGTAAAATTTAATCAAATCTTGATCGAACCGAGGAATGCTTGATATTTAAAACTGCCATTTCCGTTTTATTTTATTATTTGCATTGCAATTTTGTATTTTTCAACTGTACGTGTACGACACAGAAATAGATAGAAAAAATGCATTTATGCAAGAAATTTTACATGATATTCATCCAACCTTTATTGAATTTATAACATGTATGTAGTGATTATTAAATTGTAGCTACAATATCAATTTAAATTTGTTGGTACAATAGTTGATGAAATATTCGGTATTGTATTTCTTGCGTTACTATCCATTGGTGAACAAGGAGATCGCGGTCTTTTATCAGTTACATGGATGATAAATATAGCAGAGTAATTTGTTTTTTTTAAACACAAAATCATACTTCAACATTAGCAGCTACGAATCCTTTCTACATGGCCGTTACGTTGCACGTTTACAACAATACTTTTATTCATTAAATTAAAAGAATTCATATTGTTTGTTTCAATCTTTTCTGTGAGTATACTGCAGGCTTAATAGAAATTGAAAAAGTTTAATCTAGGTAAAACAGATGGAAGTAATTGTTAAATTCTGGACGAAAATTCGTACGAAAGTATTTCATTCTTTTGCAATTGATTATGATGGATTTGAATTATTTAAATAAAATTTGAATATTTAGTTGCATTTTATTTGGTTGTAAATGTGTACATATGAGCACACACAAGTTTTGTACAACGCATATGGTATATCTTGTACATTGTGCGATCTTTTTTTATAAATTTTGTTTTCCTTATGTACAGGTATATGAATTTGACACAATTAAATAGAAATATTTATATAGAACAGTTTTTATAACTGTTCTATTGTACTATGTATGTAATTTGTACTTGATAGATTATTTTCTAATCAGTCATATTCTGAATAATTCAAGTAAATACTGTATTTATTTAATTATTAAAGAATAAAATATAGCCTTTCTTTAATATATGGGAAATATATAAAAGATATGGTTTTAAGTTTAAATTTGCAAATAGTTCTATTTCAATATTAATAGCAACATATATTAATTTCTTAAACCGATAAAAATAACTAAAATTATCGATTTTGTTTACAAACCAGCTTATACCAATCAATCTACATTGTTTTATTATAAGTCATAACATTATTAGAACTTAATATTAAAAGTAATCTTTCTTTTTCGTTAGATTTGTGCTTTTTTATCGGTAAAATAAAATATCTTGAAATCCGTTTTCACTCATTTCTTTATGGTATCATTAAATAAATAAAAACTGACAAATAAGACATTAGGAAGGGTCGAATGATGAAAAATTACAACATAGTTGTGATCAACAACAAAAACTCAATTGTTAAAATAGTTGATGAATTAAATAATATAGACTGTTTACTTCAATATATTAAACAAACACGGTAAAACCAGTCTATCATAATACAATTGCTATTCATACGTAATATTACCTATCCACACATTACCGATGAGGATATACAAAATTTATAATAAGTTATTTACAAACAAATACTATCATTTCTAGTCACAGCAGCAGTTCTTATCAGAATATTATTTGTCCGTAAAAACTAAAATTTCTTACTATTCAATGCATGAATAGAAACTTTTGCAGATAGTCTTTGAACACTACATAAAATAGAAGCCTATCCGTTATCTTTTTTTTCCCGTCGGGGTGAACAATATTGAAGTATAATTTATAACAAACATTTGACTAGCTTTTATAGTCTCATTCCGTGTCGTCAGCTTCTGAGGATTGTGCAACCGGTAAAGGCGATGGTATAACCAACTCGTCATCTTCAACTTCTTCTTCAGCTAGTAAAAACTCTTCTCCTTCTGGAATTTCCTCTTCCCTCGCTGGCTCAGGTGGAGCTAGCACATCCTGACCATGTTGTTTCAAATGATCTTTTAATGCGAACGCTCTACCATATGATGCACCGCATATATAACAACTGAACTTCAAATTGTTGTCCTTTTTATGCGTTTGTATATGAGCACGCGCGGCATATAATGAAGCAAATGGCCGGGAACATTCGGTGCAACGAAATGGTTTAGTATGGCTGTTCTTGTGTCCCGCAAGTTGAACGCGTGTTTTAAATGTTTTCGGGCAATACGGGCACGTGTACGCGCGTTCTTCTCCATGCGTAAGTAAATGATGATTATACACCGAAGAAGCTTTAAATCTTTTGCCGCAATGTTGACATCCGTACGGTCTGACGCCGGTATGAGTTCTCATGTGTAACGTCAAACAGTAAGATACACGGAAAGTTTTACCGCAAACCTGTTACACAAAATGGTTTCTTAATAAAAATTAGACTTCTTATAATAGTATTAATATTTTTATCAAACTATATTTACCTCGCAAGCATGAGGTTTCTCTCCTGTATGAATACGTTCATGTTTTACTTTCTCGTGAGGTCTTGTAAATCTTCGACCACAATGCTGGCATTGATACGGTTTCTGATTTTCTGAAGGTTCACTACTTGCAGTGTCCATGGCAGGTGGTGTTGGTGAATGTGGTTGGCTAAGTTCCGTGTGTACCGCAGCATGCATTGCTAAACTATCAGCAGAATCAAATTTTCTATTGCAAACTGTGCAAGTTACAGAATCACCGGAGTGCAATGCCATATGCGCCTCTTTATACGATTCCGCTAATGTTTTACCTATGAATGAAGAACATGTAATTAAATGTAAATCTTCTTGGAATGTAAGAATGAAAAAAGATGAATTATATGAAGTAGTACCACACTCGGGGCATGTAAATGTTCCACTAGGCGTCCCTTCAGGTGCGTCAACGTGTCTTGCTCTCACCGGAGCGTGCATTCGAGAATGCAAACGCAAACTTTTATGGGAACAAAACTCCGTACCACAGGTTTCACATATGAAAGTTTTTTGATTTGGATCAGGTTCACCCTCGTGTACCTTCGCGTGTAGTTGCAACGCTTTGGGTGTTGCAAATGTTTGATCACAACTGTCGCAACGATTATTGCCATGGAGACACGCGTGTACTCGAAAATTTCCTAATTTCGAGAACTGCTGAAGGCACTGATTACATCTATACATTCTCATTGGAGTTGCTTCCAATCTCTTTTCGCGTACCTATGATCAATGATCACAAATTAATTGTTACTATCATTTTTTTTTACAGAGCAGATAATTCTTCATACCTTTACTCCTTCCACATTGGAAAAAAATTTTTCAATCATTGGTGCCTTGGCCGATTGAAGCGATGTTTGAGCCGGACTTCTATCCCAGAACCTTTCTATTTGTACTACTTTCCTTGTATACAATCTTCCTTCACTGTCTACGCATTCTTCTGTACGAAGTGTATTCATACTCTGTCTCTGGCGAGTATTAACCACGCTTCCTCCTGATTCTGAAGGTAAGGTACTAGCTGCAGGTACAGCTGGTATATCATCTAACTGATCAGCTATTTCAAGTAATACTTCTTGTCCGTCGTGAAACTGTTTTATGTGTTCCACAACAGAATTGAAACTCATGTCGCAACTAGTGCAACTGTAAACTGCTTCCGGTTCTATCTACAAAAGTTAAGTACATTGTTATAGCGATTACAATTTTAGCTATAATTAAAATGAAATAATTTTTTTTAGATTTATACCTCGCAAAGTTCTTGCTTCACATGTAATAGCCCATCTTCGTCTAATTCACCTACATCATTTATGTGATCCATATTTATCAGAGCATTGGTGTCACCATCAAGCAGTTCAGAGCCATCAGGTAAAATAGTAATTACATTTTTATTGCTGCATTTATCATCTGTTTTTGAAGTGGAAATTGTAACTAGTTGGTCTTGGGACAAAGGTTTTTCTTCTGCTTTGCTAGTAGGAACTTTTTCCATTTTAAATTCCAAAGGATTTTGCTCCATCTCTGCCTCTTCAGTGTCCATCTTTTCTACGACTTTGATATCTCCTGATACGTTTGTTAGAAGTAATAGTCAAATAAATAGAATTGATACATATTACGTTAGAATTTTTACACACCATTTTCGTCAACTTGTATAGTTTGAGGCCCTCCAACTATCATGATTCCACTGTCATTTACCGTTGCTAGGAAACTTTGATCTATCCCCTCAACATTTGCATCCTAAAATTAAAATTATTAAACAAAGACCAAAACAAAGGCCGGTAGATAAATTTGTGGGTGATGCCAACCATTAGCACCTCTGTGTCCGGTTCAGACTCCTGTTGAGCCTCTTGTCCAGGTTCATGCTTGGGCTCAGGTGGTACATCATCAGATTCAACACTCTGTCCACACCGATCCAAATGCTGAATGAGTGCCATTACCGAGTCGGATCGCTGCGAACAACCAGGACAGTATAGGTTGTCCGTCATGCTTAATAAATGGTACTTTAACGACTGTGGATTGTTAAACGTTTCGCCACAGCACATCGGGCAAACAAGGTTCAACGATCCCATTATCTTTTTGATTTTCACGCTGACCTCGTAAAGGGTCTTCGGTGACTTTAACTTGACCCTATATTTTATTATTAACCTAATTTGATTTTGTTACGTTCGCCTATTCTAGTCTTAATTCGAAAACGGAACCGGCTTTCCGATGAGAACCTAACCTGATGATGAATTACAGAAATGAGTGAAATGGTCTAAACGCGTCTGGATACTGAACAATGTCATATTGTTTCGTCCTAAGAGGTGAGTTTTTCAAAGAACGTCTACTTATTTGTAACCAATTATGTTACACTAAATTAAACAGCACCTTCTTGTAATAAATGCAATAACAAAACTCATTAGAGACGAACTTCAGCGCAAACAAATGCCGCACACAACAATCATGAAGTTAGGGATGTGATAAGTGAATCGCGAAGTCGGCCATTACATGCGAGTTTTGCTATATAACTATCGAAGTCATATTCGGGCTGTACCATTTTCAATTCAATGATTATTTTATTACGATATCAATTATGACGACTTTATCTTACCTCTTTTTATGAACGTGTTTAATTATCTCGTATTACGATCTGTGGACCGATGCGGCTTGACAACAGTTAGAAACAAATTAGATGCTCAATTGACAAAAGGCGCGCGTTATGCTGAGATTTTGTTTGAACAAACTTCACAACTGCAAAACTTCCCGCAATTCAAAAGCATTTGTCTGAAGTATGCTCCATAATAGATCAATTTTTATTGTCACATCAATTAATTATCAGATTTTATTTTAAAATTGCATCAAACTCGTTATAAAAGGGTTAAAAAATAAAATATGAAGGAACGACTTTTCAAATAATAATATATATTACTTATTTGTCAACATACATATATTTACATCGTCTTACTTAACAGTTACCACAAATATTATCACACAACTTAATAGTTTTGTAATACCATGAGTCATTTCATACCATGCTTTCGCACATGGAATATCAATTTTCTTTTAACACTTCAATCAGCATGTTCATGTTGAGCATTGCTTTCACGCCATGTATTTTGAACTAATTCTATAAACTGCTGCCACCATCTACTCTGTGATGTAAAGTATAATCCACAGGCAGCAATGAAGACCCATGAAAGGACTAGACAATAGTCAGTTTCATTAGATGGTGTACTGGAAACAGGACCAACAAAATCCAAAGATGTAACATATAATGATCCATTTGGTTGTAAATTAGTTATGTGGGTTATAAATCTTGCAAAAGATTCTAGTGTATAGACGGTATCATTAAATTTTGCTACTGGTTTCCCATTGTGAACAAGCATTAATGTTGGAACTCCAACAATTCCATACTGAGCATTGAAGCTGAAAATAACAAAAAATACATGAAGTTATATCGCTTAAATTAATAAGATAAATAAATATATTTTATAGTATTACTTTTGATATTTAATAGCATCAATTGCTACAGCTTTGATATGTGGAAATGAACGTGGTAGTGCATTAAAGTGTGGTGCAGCCTGACTGCTAAATATACACCATCTTGCATAAAATAATACTATTACACATGTTCCTGGTAGCATTCTACCTTCTTTGTCATTTCTACTTCTATTTGATGGCCCAGGTTCTAAGATCAATAATTTCATTAATCTGGTTGCATTGACAATCTGCAATAATAAGTGTTTGTAACTAATTTTATATAATTTATTAATTAATTATCTAAATATCTGAATATCCTACTTCTACTGGTCCATAGACTGTGTCCATCAAACAATTGACTTTGGTCACATTAGAGGTAGAATTATTTACTGTCACATTTGATTCAATAGTTTTATTTTCCTCTTTGACTCTTCCCTCTGGTAAATCAAGCTCAGTCCCTTGTTCGGCGTTTTTAAAAGGAACTGCTTGTATTCTTTCACAAACATCCATTCGCCCGAGGACATTTATCATTTGAACTAAATGGATAAAATAGGATGAATTCTTGTGTAGTATTATTAATGCACAACAAAAAACATTAATGCCTTACCTAAAATTATGATAAATAAACACAAATTCCTCCTAGAAACATACATTTTATGTATATAACCTAAAAATGTGTATACAAGTTTCCGTTCAAAAATTTGGAATAAGCGTATTAAATTCACAAGTAATTTAAACGATTTTGCGTAAACGCACGATATTTAACGAACAGTCATAATTAAAAAGTAATTGGCAGTATGACACCTGTGACAAACGAATTTAAGCATTATTTTTATTTTCATTCTCTATATATTGACGAAACAAAGATTCACTGTAATTGCTGTAATCGATTGTTCGAGGTCGCGTCGATCGCGTATCTCGCAAATCGATTTATTCTATAGTTTGTTCTCCGTTCATCTTGAGCGCTGATGTCGCTCTTTTAATACTCGTGTGATTCCTTGTGATTAACATTGTTTGTATCATTATTAATTGTCAATTCTAGATATGACAGCTTCACCACCAAAACCGGTGGGGCTGACAGGGAGTAAGGGCTTCAGACGCCTTTGCACACAGCCCGAATAAAAGTCGGCACTGAGTGCGACCCCTGGCGTTGGCCACATGATAGGCACCCCAGATGGGCACCAATTTGTCAGGCGTGGAGGGCTTCAGGGTAATACACATACATAAGGTCCCATCCCTTCCTTTAACGCCCGTGTTTAAAAAAATATATATATATTTGCAGCCACTGATTCGAGTAAAGGTAACTGCGGCACTGTTATCATCCGTTCGACCTAGAACGCAGTGAAACAGCATCAGTCTTATAGCGACCGCCGAGGGGTGCAGATCTACCTGCTAAACATACATATATCTATATTTTATTTTCTGCGTTCATTTAATTTGCTGTATTTATCTTCTTAGTTTATTGAATAAACTCACTAGGAGGACGAACGTGTTGATTTTATTACTCCCGTGTGTACCCTTTACAACTCAGATTCCTTTACATTTCTGCACCCCTTATATCTCTGCATTCCTTACATCTCTCCATTCCTTACATCTCTCCATTCCTTACATCCCTACATCTCTCCATTCCTTACATCCCTACATCTCTCCATTCCTTACATCCCTACATCCCTCACATCTCCATATGTCTTACATCCCTCCATCCTTTACACCCTTCAATCCTTTACATCTGTCAATCCCTTAAATGTCTGTTCCTTTTACAACCCTGCTTCCCTTATAGCCCTGCATCCCACAAATCACTCTATTTCCTACAATCTGCGGTGCCTTACATCCCTTTATCCTTGAAATGACGCTTTCGGCGTTCGTATCAGCGCCCCTTAGCGGCGGAAAAAGGAACTAAAGTACGAATAAATTTAGCGCCCTCTGGGGGCGAAAAAAGGAACTAAAGCTTGCCAAAATTCTGGTCCTCTAGCGGGAAAAATGCGAACTAAATTTTCGACGTTCGATCAGCGCCATCTGGTTTCGGAAAAGGGAACTAAAGCTTGCTAAAATTTTGGCCCTCTAGCGGGAAAAATGTGAACTAAAATCTCGACGTTCGATCAGCGCCATCTGGTTTTGGAAAAAGGAACTAAATCATGCACCATTTTTGGCCCTCTGGCGGCAAAAATGTGAACTAAATTTTCGACGTTCGATCAGCGCCATCTGGGGGCAAAAAAGGAACTAAATCTTGCTAAAATTTTGGCCCTCTAGCGGGAAAAATGTGAACTAAAATCTCGACGTCCGATCAGCGCCATCTGGTTTCGGAAAAGGGAACTAAATCATGCACCATTTTTGGCCCTCTGGCGGCAAAAATGTGAACTAAAATCTCGACGTTCGATCAGCGCCATCTGGTTTTGGAAAAGGGAACTAAATCATGCACCATTTTTGGCCCTCTGGCGGCAAAAATGTGAACTAAAATCTCGACGTTCGATCAGCGCCATCTGGTTTTGGAAAAGGGAACTAAATCAGGCACCATTTTTGGCCCTCTGGCGGCAAAAATGTGAACTAAAATCTCGAGATGTAAGGGACGCAGGGATGTAAAGGATGCAGCGATGTAAGGAATGCAGAGATGTAAGGGTTGCAGGGATGTAAGGGATTCAGGGATCTAAGGGATGCGAGGCTATAGTGATTTGGGGGTAGTCCCTGCGTGGTATATGAAAAGAATGAAAAGAATAAATAACTGTAAAGGGAGACCTTGGTCCATAAAGAGTAGGAATAGGATAAACAATAACTGGGAAGGGTGGTCCCCGTGGGGCCCATAAAGAGAAATAAATTAATAAATAATTGGGAAGTGTGGGTTTGACCCATAAAGGAGAACAAAATAATTAATCACTGAAAAGAGTGGACTTTATAAGGAAGAATAAAATAATAAATAACTGGAAAAAGTGAGGCGAGGCTCATAAGGAAGGATAAAATAATTATTAAAAGGGTGGTCGGCCGAGGCCCAGAAGAGAGATAAAATCATAAAATTTATCCCCCTTTGATGAGCTTGTTAATAAGCGGAAAAAATAAATAAAGTAAATTAAATAAACTCTGAAGGTAAATTAGAAGTATATGTATGTTTAATAAGTTGATCCGCATCCCTCGGCGGTCGCTATAAGACTGAGGAGGTCGCACCTCGTTCTAGGTCAACTTCTCATATTGAGAAGTAATTACTGTGTTTTGATTTAAGTTTGATTTTCATGTATATCATGTTTTTAATTTATTAAAGATCAAACAGTTGTTTTATACATAAATAAATGAGAAATGAAGTTAAGTACATTGAATAACTAAAATGATAGAAGAATTTAAGTGAATTAAATAAATAACTGAGAATAGAAATTACAAGTATTAAATAAATAACTCAGAAATGAAATTGGATAAATTAAATAATAACTCAGTTGCTTTTTTCAAATGATTTCTTTACAAAAATGCATGAAGTGAATACAAGTTTTTTAAACAATTACAATAATAACTGTTCAGATTTGTGCTGCTTTTGACTGATTTAAAATAAAAATAGAATCAAAGGGAGTGGAAATTGTCTTCTCAGATGTCAGTTTAAAGTGCGGTAAAAGAGTCACTGGTAAAACAGGCGATCATACTGGCTGTGCTCTCTGCATGCAGATCTACTCTCATCTGGGGTGTCTGGGACCCCTTGAATCCTGAGCCCTGGAAAACAAAGGCATGCCAAGTCTTCTACATCTGTAGTCACTGACAGCACGAAAGACGGGAGTTTCGAGGCCCTCAAGTGAAATCTAAAATATTTCAAGCGAAACACGTTTTAAAATTCTCCCACGATTCTATTACCAGTATAAATTTACCCCGGGTGGATGGAAATTCTATTTCAGAGCCATACACAATAATATTGTGTAATTACGATTAATCACTTTTGTAGTTATTCGACTATTATCAACGACAGGTTTCTTGAACATTATTTTTCTAATTTAATTCAATAATACATTAAATATTTACTATTCAAATCATCAATTACATTAACATTATAAATTTTCATAAATAATCTTAAAACAAGTATCTCGTGGAATATTTCGTAAGTTCGAAACATCCTTAATGCGTAGATTTATCTACAGAATCATTATTACAGATTCATTTGCAAATTATGAAATCGTTGATTTATAGCGCAAACCTGAAGCGATGTTGCGAGCAAGCTCAGTACTTTTAAGCGAATTCCACGCACCGCCGGAAGAAGAAGGAAAGGAAGACTTCAGAGTAGGAGCTACCGCGCGTATCCAGCCACTTTCATTGTTATTCGATCTGCCTTACACCAAAGGTGCAACATAAGCACTCTCATCTTCGGAGGAATCAACAAACACTTGTCATACTAGCTTTTCCATTTTCTGGAAAAATCGTTCTCGCAACACCGAATTTTCAGTGAGTATCAAAATTTAAAAAATTACAATTGCCTATCACTATCACACGTTTATGGTAATCGAAGCGCTTTCTTCTTGCCGCTACTTTGGATTAAGAAAAAGTTGCGCACTTTTATTTTCTGTTAGCAATTAATTTACTGCTGTAAATATTTAATAATTTATACTAATTTAATATTTCATAAAGAAGGATAAGGACACGGTAGCCGCCTCTTAATAAAAAATCATAAGAACGATTTTTCACTTTAAAAAAATTTTTAAATCGTTTACTGCACAGACATCACTGCACTTATGAAAGGTACATGGTTTTACAAATTCTTTATATTCTTTGAATTATTCATCTTCTTTTAACTAACATTATTTCTTTTTAATTTTAGTGAGAATAATAATAATTCCATCTTGCACCTAATATTTTTAATCTTTGCACGGAAAGAACGAGAAAGGAGAGATTTGTAATCAGAACAGATAGGAGAAAATACAATAATTCTGTTGGGAAGAAATTGCAAAATCGGTATAGTGGTAGCGGGTTAACGGAGCGCGGAAGCAACAGATGAAATCAACGTTGAGTCGCGCATTAGCATACAAAAATAGTGGAGTTGGCCTTATTCGTTTCTTACGCTCGCGATTCATACGTTCTGCCGAGACAATAAGATTTCGCGTCGGACGTTGTAAAAAAGAAAAATAGTTGCGTGTACCTGAATGAAACACCATGGTGTTCTAGTATCGGCCAATTAGGAAATTGGGAAACTTACGTTGCATTTGTTGCTGGGAAACTGTATTGTTTTTCATGCTGTAACGTTGTCCGTTTGTTTCAGCGTTCAAGAACAAAGTTCGCTGTAAAAAGGATCGTTTGAATTTGCAAATCGAAGAAGCGTTGAGTAACACGAGAAAGAAGCTTTGCCGAGTAGAAAATATTACTACCATATAAAAAGGGTGAATTTAATTTACGTTCTATTCGCTTTGAATGGGTAGCAGGAAATTAATTCAGCGAAGATAAGAAACGAAACTCTATATACATATAATAGGAAATCGAGGAGTAACAATAGAGGCAGCTCGAGTTGAACAAACTGTCCGAATTATGCTTCCTGGTTTTCACCCGATTGTCGCTGAAACAGAGACGGAAGGAAGACGCATTCATGCTCTGTTTCAGCGGCTCGGATTCGCTGAGTTTCTACAGGATATACCTACGGCGATATTTTAATGTTACCGTCACACGTGAATCTGTACGGTTCCTTGCATTCACCGAATCTCGAAAGTGTCATTGCAACTGTGTTTACCATTGAAACTCGAGGAACAATGACTTGGCCACCTCTTTTCTATGTACACGTTAAACGTTTAATGGTTTTCACCTTGAGTTCTTTCTGCTTTGATGATCTGTAGATTTCAGAGTGCATCCTCCTGTTGCAATTTCACCAAGTTGAAAGCCAGGATGAAATATTTTATTTTAAATTGTCAAGGAAAGAATGCCAACTACTCCTTGGTTCATTTAATTAAATTATGATTAGATTGTAGATTTTATTTACTCATTTTCTATATTATTGGTACAGATGACGATCATCTGGCTACCAGTGATTTTGTTGCTGACGTTCAGGTCGATTATTCCTGTTCTTTCAAACGTTGGTAATTGGGAAGTCTGCGGTGGAAGATTGGAACGTGCTCTGGATACACTTCACAAAGATTCTAGTAGAAGAAACAGATTAAAAGAAGAAGAGGCTGGCATGTTTTATCAACAAGAACTACGTTCTGCACCTCTCGAGATGTCAGTCTCCCGGATTGCCGTTAAAGTAATATTAACTGCATGAATTGTATGAAAGATTCATTTATAGATTTACCTTTTTTCAAATTTATTATACTTTGCAACAGTTCTATAGAGGTATATTTATTATTATTGATTTTATTTGACTGCTTTATTATGTTTTTAGCTACCACAAGGGGCCAGAGACACTGGAAATCCATGGGCAAGGGTGGAAAAGTGTGTTTATGAGCCTAATAATAATTCCCTTCAAACTCGAGTGATGTTCAACGACTTGTCTGTAACTGGATTGGTATCATTAATGCCACGGGATCATCAACCACCGATACCAGCAGAGTCTTGTAGGATGACACTAAGATTAAGAAGAGCAGGAGTGGATTTTTTGACTAGCCCAATTGCTCGTGGCAGAGGGCAGATGCGTATTCGAACAGAGTCTAGTTTTCTAGAGCCAAGATTCGCCTCTATTTACGCTTATGGTTGTCATCCAACGCGTTTGGATAAACAGATCAAGAGGCAGGATAAATGGCCTCCATTCTATCCACCTCGAGACGAGGTACATTTTCTTTTTTTAATAATTTCATTATACTTTGAATGTAAGGAGTAGAGTGTAAAATTATTATATCATTTACAGTACACATTGTTGTCTGCAACACATGGCGAGGACTACGAGGCAGCAGAACCAAGGCAGTTGGTGGGTGTTTCAAAGGAAGTGGATGTTGTAATTCCAAACGAGACTCGTCAGTCTCGTTTCCTAAGTTCACCAGTTGCAAAACTAGGTATTTGGAGGAAAAACGTTTGGCTCACTAAGCCTTCGCCACAGGAAAGAGGAGCTCTCGTCGAGTCCAGCTTTCTGAAAGGTCCCTTGAGCATTCTACGCTTTCCAGGATCTTTCGAAAGTAGCCAGGAAGTCAGTGATCGTTCCATAAGAATCTCAAGATCAGTGGAGACAATCGCCTCTCAGGGTTGTGCAAGCTCGTTGACCAGTAAGAGACCTACAGCCAATGAAACTGGCAATTGTACCGAAGGACAGAAGAGTCTGAATAATGTGACTGAGATTTCTTTGAGGAGTTTGAACGACAGCGAGACAAAGACGAATTTTAAAAGAGAGAACACGTATCACGATGCTCCAAAGGAGACCAGACAATTGTACATTGATGAAACTTTGGATAATATATTTCCAACCGATTTGGAGAATGATAGTAGAAGTTGGCAGTCTAAAGAACACATTGCCAGAGAAATGGAAGATGTATTTCTTCGAGGTGCTAGCCAGGCTTTGACCAGATATATTGAGAAACAATTGCATCCTGCAATTAAGGAGACACTGATGATTTCTATGGGATACACCATTAGTTATGGATAACGCACGCTTCCTTTTTCGCTTGTTAGCAACTTTTAGATGGCTAATTTCAGTTGTAGCACATGGTATAGATAGCGAGGAAATCCAAGTACAATTGGAGTCACGGTTTTGACGTTGATGTCTAGTCTTATCTTAATTAAATTGGAATTACAGTTTAGTTAGACAGAAGGCTTTAATGAAAGAATAAGCTGATCGAAGCTGTACAGCAATAAACGAAAATTTCAAAGTATTATAGAATTATTCATGTAATAGAATAACGGTTTTAAATTCTGAGGGACGTTGGTTCCTTCTTTGGGGTATTTAATGTATTCTAGTACTTGTAAAATGTTATAAATTTTTAAATATATAATTAAGTTAAAATACTTTTGCGAAGTTATTCTTTTACCCTATTCTATGTACCTACTCCATTTTCCTGATTATTTTTTTCTAAGTTTATGTATTTTAAAATTATAGCTATTTATGAGCAGTAAATTAATTAAAGAATTTTCGTAATACTGCATACCGACATGATATCATCTTGGGGTGTTAGGGACCCCGAAGCACCGATGGTACTCTGTATACAGACATTATGGCATCTGGGGTGTCAGGGACCCCGGTGCATCGGTGGTACTCTCCGTATACCGGTATGATAACATCTGGGGTGCCAGGGACCCCAATGCATCGGTAGCGCTCTCATCATACCGACCTGAAATCATTTGGGGTGTTAGGGACCCCGATGCATCGGTGGCGCTATCTATATACCGACCTGATATCATTTGGGGTGTCAGGGACCCCGGTGCGTCGGTGGTGCTTTCTGTATATCGGCATGATAACATCTGGGGTGCCAGGGACCCCAATGCATCGGTGGCACTCTCAGCATACCGACCTGAAATCATTTGGGGTGTTAGAGACCCCGAAGCACCGGCTATTCTCTTTGTATACCGACATCATGGCATTTGGGGTATCAGGGACCCCGGTGCATCGGCGGTGTTCTCTGCATACAAGCATAACATTTGGGGTGCCAGGGACCCCGATGCATCGGTGGCACTTTCAGCATACCGACCTGAAAGCAGTTGGGGTGTTAGAAACCCCAAAGACTCGGTGACACTCTTTGCATACCGACATTATGGCATCTGGGGTTTCAGGGACCCCGATGCATCGATGGCGCTTTCTGTATACCGACCTGATATCATCTGGGGTGTCAGAGACCCCGAAGCACCGGCTATTCTCTTTGTATACCGACATATCATCCTGGGTTGTCTGGGACCCCATTGGTCGCGAGACCTCGAAAACAAAGGCGGTCAGTTGTCGTGAAGTTTCCACCGTTTATGTACAGCTGGCGCTAAGATCGAATTTTAAAAATTATAGCGGTCTTTTTAAAATACGAATTTGTCAAACCTTTATTTTGATAGTTCTTCGATCTCGTTGTTAAATAAAATAATAATTAATTATTCATTATTAATGAAGTAAACGTGTATAAAACTGGTCTTACAAGGTCGTGACAACTTCGTTTTTAATTATATATCTGTAAAATTAACAGTAATCTTGTACGAAAGTTGTACTCAAATCAAATAGCAATTATTAATTATTTACTGCATAAATGGCCATAAAACCGATATGAGAAAATTGCGGGAACCTTACTCTTTATAATGCAATTATAAAAGTTCACAGAATAATTTTCAAACTTGAGAAATTAATAAAATATCGGAAGTATGTAACTGCGGTACGGAGTGATATGATGGTTACAGAAATCAATTTTTATTAAATACTCACGAATTAAATGTTACTAAAAACCATTGAGGAACGTAGGTTGAACCGTTGGCTTCAAGATGTAATCATAAAGTGTTATAAATTGTTGCTAAATACGCTAAAATTAATAAAAATTCAATGGGTATTTAATGAGACCGGCGACTACACAATCCCTACAATAATAATTGCTAATAACTCAGTAATTACAAGTAAAATGTACACAAAATAGATATTAGAAAATTTGTCAGGTATTGTTCTTCGAGGATAAATTATGAAAGTGTAGTTCTTAGCAGTAATTAACGCGTAATTAACGATTGTTGTATGGTTTATGTGTTTAATAGAACGCGTGTGCTTCTCCGACCACGCCCACTATCTGACCACTACGCAACTGTTCTGCGCAGGTTGCGCCGGCCATAATGCGCGCATGCGCAGAAGACGTGCCACCTCTTTGCACCTCCTACTATCCTAATGGCCGCCGTATAATCCAGACCATAGTTTCCCCCACCCCGTCTACCCAAGAATCGTGCCACCTCTTTGCACATTCTATTATCCTGATACCAGGAGTACATTTCAGCCCGTAGATTCCCCTACCCTACCTCCTCAAAAATCATACTACCTCTTTGGTCATTCTGTTATCCTATTATCAGGAGCAGTTTCTGAAACTGAAATTTTTAGGCCGAGCATCACTATCGTTCGTTAATATTATAATTGTAAACAATCAGTTATTTAATTATGTTTATCATTTACACAATTTATTATTAATTTAGACTTGTTTATTTCTAATGAAATAATTTATTTTCTCATACATTAGAAAAATATTAAATTATAATTAAATAATAATATTATAAATTGAGTGAATAATATATTTCTTTTACTGGTAAAGAATATTAAGACAATGATAGATTTAAAAAGCTGTAGAATATTGTACATTTTTAATAAAAGTTTCTAACTACTAATTATGTGATTTTTATTGTTTTACGAACATTATTTGACCAAATCGTTTTTGTAGGATTATTTAAATAATTGTATTTCAAAATTAGAACAGCATACTACCAATATATTACATGCTCTCCTGATATAAGTTTCTAATTTTTAATTAAAAACGTTGATTATTAACATATTTATTCATGCAAATTTTAAAGTTTTACACATAGTATAATAATTATATGATAAAATGTATATAATAGTCAATTTTTATAATAATCAATTTATAATAATCAATTTAGTATGCCACAAATTTCATTTTCCACGACGAAGTTTTTCATTATCTGTAAAAGAGAATTATCATCTTTAATACAAGTTATTCATTTGTTAAATAAAATTTTACAGTTTCAAATAAAAGCCTTACAGTGTGAAATTCTGAGATATTCTACGATTCTATGTGGAAAATTCTATTTAGAAACCTATCTATTTACATTTATACGTACAAACGGAATGCTTTTGAACGATACTTAACATGAGAATGGGTCGATTCGAACGACAAAGCCACGGTGTAGTGAAAAGAAACACTCTTCCCGTCTTGCGAATCCGTTGCGATTATGCAAACGATGCATTAAAGTGTATCCCATCGAAACATGTTCGACGTTCTCGTGAAAACTGCATTCTCAAAATGCTACGTCGCATTGCTGTTCTCCTTTGTAATCTCAAGAATCCCTTTGAATATAACATTTTCATAAATGATTGCCACTAGAGGAAATAAGATCTCTTTGATTTTCTATAAGAGAAGGGAAACTAGATTAAATATCTCTGTTAAATTATGCAATGATAAACGGTTAAACTAGTTTGAATAGATTTATCACCTTTCAATTAGAAGACTGTGACTACTCTTCACCATGAAAAAGATTTCTACAATTTTGTTCTCTGATTTCCTGTAAATAAGAAAGGAAATGTTAAATTATGCAATGATAAAAGGCAAACGAGTTTAAATAATCACCTTTCAATTAGAAGATTGATTGCTCTTCAATTACAGGGGATACAAGGATACAGTGTTGCTAATTTTGCAATGTTGTTCATTATATCAGGTACTAATTACACTTTGAAAAGCTTTAACTGCAGCTCTTAAATATAAATCCATCGATATTCTTCTATGTATCTGATATAAAAATGAAGATAAAACCTGCAACAGTTATAGATTCTATAAAATATGCAACCATCAAAGTGTTAAATCATGCAATGATGAAATGGAAACGAGTTTGAATAAATTATTTTACTTTTCGATTAGAGGTGCATCAGAGCCTCGACGATTGCTTTCCTCTGTGTTGTGTCTTCTTAAAAATTTTCTATCTTATGATTTCATCTGCTCACAGTAATAATATTCAAATATTCTTCCTGATTTATTCATCAATTATTCCATCAGCAGAGATCTGAAAAAAAAATACAATTCCTGGTTAGAAAATAAAAATTTGAAGGAAGAGTTATAGAAATTTGACGAACCTTTGTTAAAAATGAATGTTGATTCGCTGAGACAGCATCAGGAAGAAGAGGGTCCGAGTGAAACCTGGATAATATTTATTAGAGAGCATTGAACCATGAGTTTTTTCACTTTACCCCATAAATCAACCCTTAACGTTCGTCCCTTTGCAATCTTCAACGACGTTTTCAACTTTCTTCTGGCCAAGTGACTGGAGACGGGGAAAACTTTTCATTTTTTTTTTTTTTATTCCCACTAGGGGAGGGAAGAAAAGTTGCCCTCATAAAACTATCAACGATTCTATTCGACATTCTCCAGCTCGAAAGTGACCATTACTTCAAGAACTTGGGGATCTGAAACACGACGACTAAGAGTGAATGTTTATTCCTTTCTAAAGTGAATATTATTTGAGATAATTGAAATACATCTATACCTTAGAGAGTAAATTTTGATAAAAGACAAAAGAGAAAAGTTCTGTGTTGTTAAGGTATTATCGATTAAGTGAAGATTTCTTGAATTTATATATTGTTCTGAGCTTTCTTCTTCGAGGACAAAGGCGCGTAACGTCAAATCAAGCCAGCCCTTAGTCTACGCAGAGAGGAAATTCGAGCTGTCAGGAAACAGACGTCCTGGCCAGGACGTCTAACGTCATAGGCAAACCCGAGATCGCGTAATTAACGGGATATATCCTTCCCAATCCACCCTAGCATCGGTGGAAACGGCTTCTCCGTCTTGCGAACGGGGATTGAGATCGCGTTACGCTGCTGTCGGTTACAGCAGCCACTTGCTAAAGTCACCTAAGACGATTAACAAGATTGATTGGAATTTCTGAGCTCTTGCTTACCCGCTCTATCGATTGTTTTCTTCTTTTTACCATCCTAATCACTTTGATACTCTGTTCAACCCAATTAACTCTACAAACCAGCGGGGCAATCATTATTGACCTATGGAGGAATTAACAAAAGTATTAAGTGTAAATTTTAATTTTTAATTCTTAACGTTCCTGACAAAGTTGTTGGAAATTTTTAAAAAGATTCTAGGATTTATCGACGAAGAAGTGTTTAATTTCTTAATAGAGGGATCAGCTGATTCTTCTGATCCCTTCTAATTAAGCTATTTTTAAGAAGATTAAGAAACGAAGCTCGTTGAAATATTAAACAGCTCTTTTCACTAAATAAAATTTATATGAGTACTAATGTATTATAGTCCTGATCAATTCACTTCATAGATCAATGTTCTAACTATCTATCAATCATATAAAACGTTCCTACTTTTAACTGTACTTCCAAATAATAAATGATTTCTCATTTTTAATCAATCTAACGTTAATATTAATACAATATATATGTATATTATTAATGTAAGTTTAAATATAAGAAACATAGTCGAACAAGTTCGTCCAGTCAGCGATGACGAGTTAGGATTAAATAAGAGCCGCAAGAACGTTGTTCACGATCATTTAATAATTTCGCGTCTGTAAATACGGCGTGATTAAACGCACGGTTGCTGCAGGAACCGGAAACTTGCTCCTGTTCGTGCAGCTTTATTGATCTTTCGTGAAAATTTCGTCGTTTACTTTAGCACGTGAAGGCGAAAAGTTGCTGGGTAGGAAAGTTTCCCTAGAAATAAGGGTGCTAACCGTCTTGGAATAAAGTGGCAACTACCTAACACGCGAGTTACACCTGTATCTGCGCGAAACCCCATCAACTTTGCAACAACGTTCCTGGGAAATCCTGTTTCTCTCTGTCGACTATGGAAATCGAAGGATCGTGCTGAAAATAAGAAATATTTTTTTTTTTATAAATTTCAATCGTAGCAAGAGTAAATTTTGCGCTATTAATTTGAAAACTTTGACGTACCTTTAAAACCGATCTCCAAAGATATGAATAATTGCTTAGAGAATGAATTATTCAATTGTTTCCTCCCCCAACGGTCGGTTACTATTTTCAAAATGTTATAAAAGTCCACGAACAATGTTCCTTATTTCCGAAAAAAAGGGTTGGATGAAATCTGAAAGGGTAAGCTTGATGAAAAAAAAAAAGGAAATTCTATGGTAGATCGGAATCGACGGGATGGAAATAAAACGTTCTAGGCTCTGGTGGTTAATAATGAAAAGCAACGGCGAAGATAGTCTGGGAACTCTTAAATTCTGCAGCACGGCGTAATTAAAAGGACCCACTGAATCTTTCAGATTCGCTTAATGAAACGCCGTGAAAATTGATTTTTTACCTTCTTTCGCTCCTTGTTTCTTTCACGTACCACTGCGACACCGCTGGACACGGTTCCTTCTCGATTTTAATAATTCTGAGGATAATAAAGGTGAGGAAAATTAAGGAAAATGATGTATGAAATAGTATAAGATAAATAATAATGAAAACTTTTTGAAAATTTCAACTGAATTAATGTACCAGTGAAAGATTCAAAAAGAAAAGAGTTTGGAAAATATGGAGATCAACTGGTTTAATCGCATAAAATTCTCTGTTCTTTAACTTCCAGAGGGAAGAATTAAAAAAGAGGGAAAGAAGTTTGATCAGTAATATTATTAAACTAACACAGTCCGGAAGGATGTTTAAGCTTCCGGGCTAAAGTTGGTGTACTTCTAAAGAAATTACAATATTGAATCGCATGAAATTAATTCTGAAGAACTCTACATTCGCCTGGCTTTATCAGAGGCAAACGAGTGAAAGAAAAATAAAGTTTAATAAGTCAGGCCTTATCAGGACTAACAAAATTGACTAAAAAATTAATGCAATAATTTCAACGTCTAACAAACTCTTTCCTTATAAACAATTGAATCTATCTGTTTTAGTTTAAATGAAAGAAAAAGGAAGCAAGAGGGAAAGAAGGAACTTCTGAGGGTACCTGATGCTTTCAGTTTCAAAGAAACAACCCCAAAGATTTTTCAACAGAGCTCTTTTCTTTTCCTCACTGCCCAAAAAAGAGAAAAAAAAGTCCACTTACAAGTACAGGTGCACTTTGGAAACGTTTCACAGAAGTATCATGCGTATGAAAAGCACACTTTACAAAAGACGCCTCTCACGCACACATCAGACAAACACGCTCCTCGCCTTATCTCTCCTCGAAGACTCGATTTCTGTAAAAAAATTTGACTTTAGATCATCGAGCAATAGTGCATCGTATTATCGCGAGGAACTCAGAAAACTCCTTCGTTTTCTTGAGGACGAGTTTCATCGTTGAGGAAAGATTCAACATCAAAGAGAATTAAATCAAGTTGAAGTCGAATCACTGATGGAAAAATTAATCTGACCCTGAAAAGCGATATTGACTCTTCTCTGGTGTTCTATGTACACGAAAAGCAGTGCGTTTTAAACTGATTTCAATACCTCTCTTTCTCTATTCTATGATACATACACTATGTACACAGTCTGTCTTTGTACAATGTTTCCTTAGAATACAAAACAATGAAACAGAGAAGAAGAAAAGAAGTGGGATAATTATACAGAACAAGTTCCCATTTTAATTTACCATTTAAGAATAAATCTTATTGAGAAATTTTTAGATAGAATAATGGAAAGTGTTCCTATTTACAATAAAATATATCTGGATCAATTCTGTTCTGCATAATAATCAAAGTAAGAATGTTGGACCGATAACAAATAACAATTTCAAGTAAATTTCAACGAAAGCTTCGAATGGACGAAGGCAAATCAACGTTAAAGCTATAAAAGTCAATGACTTTAATTAACAACGAATACCCCCTAGTAACCGTGAATAGACTTCTTATATTCACTCGCTCAGTTTCATCACTCAGACGTTCACCACTAGCCTTTTGTTATACGCAGGTAGTTCATCTTCTTTTTTTACAGATTCTTTTTACAGGAAGTTGCGATCGAAACGTAGGTCCCTCTCGCTTTCTAACAACAGTTTCATTTAGTTTCTTTCACTGTGAAGCCTCGACGAGGCTAGGACGCGGCGTTCTCAGTTCTTTCGTGCACAACCTGGCCCGAATCGTCGCGATTTATACAGTCCCTGATGGCTTGGAGCACGACTCGCACCCTTCTGTCGAGGGCTGTAAGGTGGGGTTCCCATAAAACAGGTGCCACGGGGTCCTTTGCCATGCTTCTCTTCAACGCTTCGCTCAATGGCATCGGTCCGTTATGAAATCTGTTAAAAAAAAAAAGAACAATGAGATATTAATTAATCAAGGGGTTAAACGTACGCGTTTTATATAAACGACAATTTCTTTTTCATTTAACCGGCGCAAAGAATTTATTCGACGATATAACTCCCCGGTTCGGGGCGAATAAAAACACGGGCCGTAAACAAGCCAGAAAACGAGAGTAAATCTAAAACTGCTCGCGGCAGCTCCGAATGCTCGAAATCCCGGCATATTTAAGAGAAAAGCTCGAAGATAAACCTGTTCCATTAAAATACAAACAAACCACGAGACTGGTGGCATAAAGATAAATTCATCTCCCAATGGGCATCATTATCGGACAAATAAACAGAGAACATTTGTATTTCTATCGTTGGTTAACAATTTACTGAGAAAAAAAAGAAGGAAAAAAGGAAGATTCTTTACCAAACATGGGATAGGCTCCTTTCAGCCCGGAACAATGTTCCCACCACCGGGGCTTTCAATATTCACGGAATCAAAGTAACTCGAACGTTTTTAATAAACATGCAAATCCGTGGACGCAGAAGTCGTCGGGAGTCGAAAGATTAAAAAACGTGACCCTTCGGGTCGCCGGATTGATCATGTCAGCGACCGGGTAGCACAAGGAATTTTTCAATAAAAATGCAAATACCACGGGTAATTAGAAGTTGGAACGGTAAGACGCGATCCTTTTTGTACGTCCCGAAGAAGTTCGCGCCTTACGTTTGTCTGGAAAGGCTGCAGGAAAATTATACTCCCGGTGATATTCGAGCCCGCAGGAACGTCCTTCGAGATTTCGAGAGACACGGTCCGATGATAATGGAAGATCTGGCTCCTCCTTGCGGAACAGCCGATGAATAAAGTATCGACTTAAGCGTACGGCTCGCGAATCCTATTTGTACCATGTACTGGGTGATCTATCCGATTCTTCTCTATTTCAAGGTGTTGAATTTCGAAGCGGGAACAAAGCGAATTCGATCACAGGAACGTTAGAAATTTTTATTTCTCTGAATTTTGGAAAAATGGGATTAAATTGACTAAACTTTAGATATAAAAGGCTTTTGAAAAAATTAAATTATAATTTGGAAATAAATTTTCTCACCTGATATATATAAAATGACACGGTTAATCTAGGAAAGAAAATGAAAGGTAAATAGAATTTCTATTTGTTCAACTGCTGAATAGTTTCTTAAAGGAACACCTAGTACGTGGACACATAGGTACACTTAAGGACACATTCCCAAAGAAGCACGTGGGGATAAAAGTATTTTTCTGGGTGGCTACTTTTCGATGTCACTGGGGAACGCAGAAAAGCACGCTTTCGACGAGAAAGGGATAAAGACTCGATCGAACGGCTTTTATACCATTTGTACGATTATGGTACTCGAGGAAATTGATGACCCTAAATGACAGAGCCGTTTAATATTTATATGATAAAAATTTCAGTCACCTTTTGCTAATATTTCTCATTCGAAACACAATGCGAGTATAAAAATTTCACGATCTATTATTCTTACTATTGTCTCGGTCTTATTATTACAAGGAGATCGCTGGCACGAGTATAAATTCGAATGAAATCGTGCTGGTAGTTTCAGCCGCATTAAAGAAGCCCACACGCTGTCCATTAAACCCGACATTATAGGATAATTGCATCCTGTGGCTACTTCATTGCAGCTACTTCATCGTGTCAGTCACGGTTGCTTCTTTCATTATGACTTCGTTTTCATTCAATTCCCCTTTCATCTACGAAACAGGGACGACGCGAGCTTGCTAAATAATTAAATCTACAACATGATACCGTCTCTAATTAGCCGACAGACTAACGTGTGTCCAATTACCTATTCATAATTTCGTTTAGCAAGGAAATCAGTGTCGTGATAAATTCAACTCGAAGGAGGTTGATGAATATTTTATAATTAAATTCTCATCTGATGGAAATTTGGGAAACTGAAAATTGTAAAAGGATCAACGAGCGATACAAGAAACGGGGAAGACGAATGGTGACCCGTTAAAGGGTTAAAGGAATGAGAGGATCTAACGCCTTTTACCTGAAGTGAAATTCAATCCGAGGATTGTAGAATTTTTATCGAGACAGCGGCAGGTGTCGGGAGCGTTGCCCGAAGAAGATATCCGAGTTAGCGGCTCGTAACGACGGCTTAAAGCAATCTGCCGAACAAATCGATGATCGAACGTTGAAATCGTGCATCGTTCACCGATGTGTGTACACGCTCGCTACCGGGGACAAATGGTACAAGCTAGGCGCGAGTACGAAATCCGCTCTGGTCGAATTTATCGCGACCGTAAAAAGCCCGTCCCCGTGAATCCGCATCAAAGCGGAGATTCACGAGCGATGCCGGCCAATTCTGGTAAAACGTTTCACTCCGAAATCCGCCTTATCCAGCTTCGGGGCCACGGCTCGTAAAGTTTTCCCGGCGTTTCCCTTTTTCGAAATCCGCCGAGAGGCTCTGCTGTCCGTTCTGAATTGTAAATTTCCTGCCTGATCGATCTGTCGCTCGGCGAACGTCTCGAAAGACCGACGATCTCTGAATCTCATCAACAATTTGTTAAATGAAATTTGTTTACAATTTCCAGTTGGATGCACATTGCCTAAATAATTATAAACAGAGGAAGGTAAATTTCAGTGAGGATTATCACGATGAAAAGCTTTCAATCTTACTAGAAAGTTAAAAGAATCGAGAAGGAAAAAGGATGCGGTTTACTAGAGTACACTTCGCTACTTTCCTTCCAACGCAAAGATTTCCAAAGCGTTCGTGAAAACTTACTTTAAAAGGGTGCTCAAGGTGGTCTGCCTGATCATGCAGCACTGCAAAATAGGAGCCAAGATGGATATTTCATCGTGGAAAGGCCTGCCAAATCCTCTGCCGTGATCCAAGTGCAGAGGGAACGTGTTGTTGCCGAATATTTTGAAGGTCTCGTAATGGTGTCTGTCCATGTTGCCCATGAGAAAGTCGAAAACAGCCATATCCATCAGATCCAGCAACCTTCGACCCTCGTCGTAAGGCGGTATTTCCTTCACCAACGAACAGTAATCGGAATCTGAAATCATACACAGACGTGTTATTTAAAATATCGTAGAAATAATATAAACGCACAATGTCGGCCCTTTTAAACAACTGCCCTTTTAAACTCTCGATTTGTTATCCTCTCGATGGCTCGCAAAACTCTGGGCCCTCAGGCCGAGAAACTTTCCCTCTTTTCGGCCAGTTTTCAGAGGCCGCTCGCTGTCCCTTACGCGAGGACCTTAGTCCTCGAGGCACCTTAGGTGTACGAATCGTACGCCATGGGTGACGTGGAAACCTATTGATACGAATGTAGCCTCGATACGCCCTGAAAAGTTCATACGGCACCCAAGGTGCATCGAAGGCCCTCGCCCTAGGGCCACCCTTATTCGCACCCACCACCCACGCAAGAGTCTATCGACTCTTCGGCGCCGACATTTATACCTTAGCCTAAACTTTAGGGCCTAAATAGTTACTCGGATTCACTTAGTTCTAAATAATCGTCATTCGCACCCATGTGACCACCCAGTTCACCCACCCACGCCAGAATATTATTTCTTATTCTTTATCCCGTAACGTTAATAGATCGTTACCGTGCTCCCATTGCGCCTTTTTCCGCTTGTGATAACTTCTTCTCCAGGGATGTCGCCAGGCTTTCCTAGCGGCGAAAGATTTATCCGGCAGGTACGCGGCGAAGCTACCTTCCAGAGTGTCCGGATTTCCGCAAATCGCGTGAGCGGTATCGCAGTAATAACTGCACTTCCCGTGGAAGCAGATATTTCCAGCCGGACTGACGAAGAACGTCTTCAACAGTTCACCGTCGGCGATCTGATAAATCTCTGTCGTTAGGTTCAACGTTCGACCGGTGACCGGCATCGCCCTGCGGAATCCCAGAAGCCTGGAAAAAGGAAATTCGATTGGAACTGTATCTAAAAACTAGAATTCTTTTAATGAAACTTACTGCAAATAAATTTCTTGATTTTTTGGAAATGATTGTTTCATTTTTATTTTAATTACCTGTCCAAGTGGAACGCCGCTATTTCCGCCGTGTGCCTCTCGAAATCGGTGAAATAGAAATGATTCGGCAGGGTCTGTTGTTCCCGCGGAAACCTGTCGCAGAAAGATAAACACCGTTCTCGTCAAGTCATTAAGTCGTTTCCTTTCCGCCACGCGATAAACGCGCGTTTTACAAGAAACGCGAGTTCCCGTGAAAATGTTTTCGCAGCCAGTCCCGTGGGAAATCCATTGTTTTCTCGGATATATTTTCCTGTTCAAGGGCATTCGTCAAGGTTCGTCGAGGAGAAGTTCCCGTGAAAACAGGCAAAAGAAGAGAGAAGAGAAAGTGGAAACGGAAAGTGACTCCTTTCGTCGGGATGTTTGATCATCCGTGAAGAAACGATGTCTTCCATGATTAAACGCAACGACATCGTTTTTTCAACAGGAAGCGATGACAGAAAATAAATCTCTACTTTCATTTTCCATTTCTCGAATTCACTCGATTCGACTACTAACGACGCTCGCTAAATGCCCGCCGTGTAATTCCCGCCTTCGAATCAAGCGCCGTTATTTTATGTCATTTCGAAAATTGCCTTTCCGATGGAGTCACTCGATTACCATCAATTTGAAACACGTCACGTCATCGGCAATCGCGTTACCATCAACGCAAGAATTTTCCAGCCTCGGAACCGTTCGACGAATCGAATTAAATCGAGGCGGAAGGAATTTTTCGTCGATCAAACTGTTTTCCCCTCGACGCTTTTCCACGCTGGAAAAATATTTTCCTCGTTCAAGGCCGCGGCACGTACGAGCGAACGGAGCCTCGAGACGTTGGAATCTAAAAAGGAGACGATTTTCCCGAGAAAACACAACCGTCGTATGCGGGGGTGGAGGAGAAAGACAGTGGAAGTTAAGAAAACGGAAGAGACGCCTATACTTTCTTTTTCTACGCTTCCATCGCGAAAATCGACGACGATAAATAAAAAAAGACCTTCCCCGAGGAATCCTTCTCGTACGTGTACACCTTTCCTCTTTCGGAATATATCAGAAGGGACAAAAAAGTACTGGAAAATTCTGGAGATGTACCGACGTTGAACGAATACGCGTCACCGAAACTTCATGAAAATGTAAATAACGGAAGAAACCTGTTCGCGAAAACAATCATCCCCAAAACGAAATTTCTCGATAAAGATATTATCAACGCTTCGAGCAACAATATGTATTCAACAATAAATTATATATGAAATATTCAAAGAATCAGCGTTTTAATTACCGGAGTACCCAGTTTGAAAATTTTTAATGTCCTATTAATTCAGAGTTCTGCAAAGCAATTTATTGCAATTACGGTGGTAATATACTTCTAATTACGCTTCGGATATAATTTTACAACGCACCAATTGATATTTAATATAAATTACCATTAATTTCCCTGCAACTTCGTGTTGGATTTTATCGTTATTCCATCTAATTGGCTAATGAGAAACATCATTTCTCACCCCTGCAACAAGGTGAAGTGTTTCACTGGTAATTACGATGATCAAGATCATCCAGTGCAGAAACTAATTACTACGGAACGATAGCTTCATCGTGTAATGAAACAAGGGAATCGAATAAATAAGAAGAAGAAAAAAAAAAAAAGAAGGTAAAGTGGAGAACCGAGATCGTTGTACTTTATCGGCCCCCGTGGTAACGGGAAGGGAAAAAGAACGAACCGTGCAATCCGGTAAGCCACCCCAGAAGATTCTTTCCTCGATCAAATATTTACCCACGATCTTCATGTAGATTTTACGAGCCACCTGGTACGTATTCGATGGATCTATGAACGAGGCTACCGCGAAACTGGCGCAACCGACTGCCTTCTTTTAAACATGTTGGTACACACTTTCGGTTTTAATCAAATGATACACATAATTCCTTATAAAATAAAAAGCTGGAATTTCTGGTAATAAAGGGAGTGTTATTGTTCCATCTGAAATGTCAGCCGAGAAATTCAACGTTTCACTGTGACTTTTTATCGACGAACCTGATAACGTTTGAAGCAAATTAAAAAAATAGTAATTAAAAATTAAAAAATAGTAATAGAAGTAATTTAAAAAATGGAATATTTTTGAACAGTGAGGAAAAGGTGCTAAGTAGTTAGATTCTCATGAAAAATGATTGTTAAATAAGACATGGTCAAGTTGGAAGAAGCGAAACAAGGCGTGGAAAACCGCAGACCGAATGCAGCGACTTTTCCGTGCGGGCCAGGCTAATTAATACGACGGTCGCCCGGTAATTAGCGCGTAATTTGCATCTGATTAAAAGTTAACTGGCGTCGCGAGGCTGCCAGACCAGCCGTTGCCTCCTGACCTTCCGACTTTGCTGGCATAATTTTGTTTACCAAGAGGTTCTTCGTCCGCGAATTTTCGTTCCTCGAAAGTGCACGGAAAAGATAACCGGTATTTAGCTGGAATAATTGCACGGATCAAGAAGGTGTCGCTGTTATTTCACGTTCAAACTACGACTACTTCTGACGAATTGTTTCAAACGTTAATTGCACGAGTTTATTAAAAAAAAAAGTGTGAATGAAAAGTGAAGTTCGCCTTTCAATTAAGATATTAATACAAAATTATTACCATTCAGGTCGAATTTTTATTAAAAAATTCTTCGATTAAATAAATGTACATTTGAACAATTCCTGCATGGTTGCTGAGTACTCGAGTGTTTAGGATTTTCGTGAATCCAGCAAAACCAGTTCCATTGGAATTCACTATACCGCGAATGGCGTAACGCTAATTGCACTGCTAGTTAATTATGTAGGTCGATGGTAATTATCGATGCTCGATCGGTCGACAAGTGGCGAAGTGAAAAAATAATGTCCGCTATTTATCGTGCCATTTCCTTTTTTCAATCGATTAAATCGAACATATTGGTCCGGTCGATCGTTAATGTACCAATTACTTGGTACACAAAGTATCTTGAAAAAATATCGACGTTTTTTCTTATTTTCTCGTTTATAATTTCCTGGACTATAAACATTACCAGATGAGAGGAAAGAAAATGATTGAAATTTCGTTGGACGCGAAACAGGAGCAAAAGGGAAGCTGTTTTTAATAATCAACTAAAAGTCAAACGCTGAAGTTCAACGAGAAATTTAATATAAACGTCGACTTTGGAACTCGTCAGAAAGTATAATAAAGAGGGAAACTTTTATTTTCAATGAGTCACCGTTTGAAATTCAAAACGTAACATTTCGAGCAAACAACTGGAAAATTAAATCATTAACACCTACGTTTTAAAGGGTTGATTTCTAACTGAAGTTGCAAGTTTAGCTGCGATAAATATAATAAAATAAATTTAGTAACATCCACAGGTGTAATTGCTAAAAATTCTCGTTTACTTCCATTTTTCCTTCCCTAAAGGAATCGGAAATCATCGGAAAGTAAATCGTTCGAATTGCCAAAAAAGCATGGTCCGCAATCAAAGAGCGTTCAGGCTGCCTCGCAATAAAAATGCTCGACAGGAGGAAATAATTTCCGAGGAAAAGAGCGTCGCCAGGAATTGTCCATTCAATGAATCCTCACGAGTCCGAGAGAGGAAAAGAAAGGCAGGACTCGTTCGTTTCGAACGAGGGAAAAAGGGGTGTCCTCCTTAACGTGTAACGAGAGCTTATTGCGGGATTGGCGGCGTCGGGACGCTCGCAATTTCAACCCGAATTCTCTCTTTCTAACGTTTAGCGAGGGTGTAAGGGGGGTTCCACGGCCGGAAACTTTCCATGGAACTTATTGGGGAACTTATTACCGGAGTTTAAGCCGGCCTCGGCCACTTATCGCGGAATCTTCGGCCGACCGGAAGTTTAAAGGGCCAAGTGTGTGCACGGAAGTGGTTCGAGGAGGGTCGAAGACGGGACGGGGGATAAAAAGAATCGCAATAAGCGTCTCGACGAGCCTCGCTTGTCTCGAATTTTCTTCTCCACTTCTGGATATTACGTTTTCTCTGCTTTATTCTCCTGACCCGTTCCATTCTTCCGTTTCAGAACGATCGACCTCCTCGGAATCGTCCTTGAATAGATATTTCGGACGAGTTGAAAGGAGAAAATGTTAGTTTCAAGATAGGATAATGAATACAGTTCTTCATCTCTTTGCAATTATTGACACTTTTCCTAAGGAAGTAAGAGATAATATAGGGAGTTTCTTCACCCTCGAACGGCGGACCATGGAGAGAGCCCGCCTCGAGACGGCGGACCATGGAGAGAGCTCCGATTTTAATTTAATTTTGTACTTCGTATTATTTTCTTTTGTATTAAAATTATAAGGATTAAATAATAAAATATAACTATATTTTCTGAAGAGTGTCGATCATTGTAAAAATTCCAAATCCTTATAATAAAAGTGTTAAGCACCAAAGTCAAGTGTTCGAGTGATTTTCATTGCGGTAGCGAGGGTGAGGATCAAAAGGCCGTCGAATATCGATTGGAATACCTCAAAGAAGTAGAAAGAACAATTACCACGTTATTCTGTCCCCTCGAGGAAAGGTCTCTGTTCGATTAAAGAGAATACGAGGCCTGCGGTTTTTCCTGCTGCGAGGCTGACGAAGTTACGTGGATAGGATTACGAGCACAATTACATAAGTGGAGGGGCCAAGTAGTTCCTCGTGCCGTGAAAGAGCCACTCGAACTGTCCTTGCCACTTCTATTCAATTATCATAGCCCACTCTCACTCGCTCTTTCTCCCTTCAGAAAACGCGATACGTCACATCCTCCTATTGTCCCAGGGCTTAAGAACTTTTGCCTTCCGTGAACGAGCTAAGGCGAGCCGAGCATCGAGGGCTGGCGATCGTGACTTTTTTTTTACGCCCTTCGCTAGGGTTCGTTGGGTCAAATAAAAAGAGACGATTTATACAAAGTGACGATGAAACGCTTATACATTCACAGCGACTCGGTTACATTAGATCTAAAGGTTCGCGAAGAGATTTTTAACGAAAAATTTCAGTTAATTATAGGTACAATTTTCTATCTCTATCTCCCATTATTTTCTTATCGAACGAACGACTTCTTAACGAGACCGTACGCGTCGTTTTTCCCTCCACGGTCAATTGGTTCGACAGGAAGTTGCGGGGGACCGATGTTTCACCGTTAATTTCCCGTTCTTATCGGCGCCGATCTGTTCGCCGAGTCTCGTGGGATTTCGCGAGGACGACTAGCCACGTCACAGACAAACTGGCGAAGTAATTTCGCGCTGGCTGCGACCTAAAGATACGAAACTTTCTCGCCCTATCTTTCCACCTTGCCACCATCCTTCCTAAAACTAGCGAGCATCCTTCCCAGGAAGCTTCTAATCGCGACTTTCAGCTCGATTCACGAGAATTTGGAAAATGAATGCAGGAATACAAAGTACGACTGCTATAATTTTCTATTTTTTTTTTTTGGTTGAAATAATTTAATTGCACTCACCTCATCGGCTTGAAGAGCGCCTGCATGTTCGAATAGTTTATCTGGAGCTTCAACTGCGTGCCACCTTCCTTCTGGACTGAAAAATAAATAGAAGAAAAAAAAAATTAGATAATTATTCCATGCGAAACATGCAAATTGTTTGGAAACTCTGTTCGACGGAATTCGAGCAATCAAGACTTTAGATTTAATTTCATTCGTTTTGACGAGTTTCTCTTTGAGAAATATAATTTGAAGAACGGTATAGAGCAGGAAAAAATTCTTGCCAGAAACGCAGCAGGATATCGATCGCGGCTCGTCCACTGTGTCAATTTCATAAATGATATATGCCTAATTTAGGTGCCAGCCGTCCGGGTTACCCGCGGACAATTTATCACACGAGACAATTAATCGTCGACCTCTTGTCCTGTCGATGAAATTATCGACTCGAACTACTTGGACCCCCACGGTTAAACCCGTACGATGTCATCGTTTCTTTTTCCGATCAACTTCTTCTAAATAAATTCAATTCTTCGATTAATCAAATTTCAATTAACATACTGATATAAAAAATTTAATGAAAAGATAATTTTAATTGGCATTGCTATTGTTACGCTGAAGGTCCTACAAATAACGCGAATTAAACGAGCAGAATGATATTACGCAACGAAACACAAAAGTTCTTTATTCCACTCCGTTGTTGTTGACGTCTGGCATTTCCTGGAATTCCGTGAATAGCAATTGCTCGGAATCGCGAAGTAAAACCAGCGGCAATGGCACTTTACGCGGATAGTACCAATCGATTTTCGAAGTGAACCGATGGTAATTTCACCTTGAACTCGAGTAAAGTTCGAAGGTGAAAAAGAGGAAAAATGTGCATGAACAAGGACGTCGAGAGAACTTTCTGAAAGCTCCTCGAACATCGTTTAATCGATGGCTCGAATTAACAATTCTTTTTTAACCCCACAAGCTAAGCCATCCTTTTAATTATTAACACTTTTATGGCCACTGTCCTGTATCTTTTGTTCTACATAATTTATAACTTTATGATTTTATTGAAAATCAGTTTCACGTCTCATTTAACGAAAAACGATTTAGATGAGAATCGTTCTGAGAAATAGAAGAGAAAATGTTAGTTACAAGATAGGAATGAATACAGTTGTTGATCTCTGTGCAATTATTGACACTTTTCCTAAGAAAGTAAGAGATATAATATGAGTTTCTTCGCCCTCGAACGGCGGACCATGGAGAGAGTTACGATCTTAACTTAATTTTGCACTTCATATCATTTTCTTTTATTTAAAAATTACGCTCCGGTGTTCAAGGATTAAATAATAAAATTTAATTAGATTTTTTACATTTTTAGGAAAAGAGAAATAGAGAAACGATCGCGAACTGTGTCATCGAGATTGCCGGATGATTAAACATCTAATCTCACGGACCGTGACTGTGTATCGAAATCAGCTTTCATCGTATCGGATGGTAATAGTCTTGCCGGTGCAATTTAATTATTGTTTAGCAAGTTGGATCGATCTCCTTTGTCGCCGAGATATACCAAGGAACCGTCTTTGTCCTCCTCGATCTAATTTCCCACGGCAGCTCGATACTTGCATCCTTACCAACGTTGCGACTCCTTCGCGTTGATTTAACTTCCTTCTACCCCGACGTTTCCTTAACAAACTATCAATTATTCGAACCGAAATTAAACCCACCCTTCCCTTAATCGAAGAAATTATAAATGTACAATTTACCTCCCGGTTTTAATTAATCCGTCTATCATAATTTTTTAGTAAAAATTCAAAAGACAATGTGTCACGAGTATAAATAACCGTACAAGAGTCGAAAGATAAAGAGATATCGAGCCGGAAATTAGACGCGCAACATCGTGCCAGATCTAATTTTAAAACGTTCCGCTTCGAGCGAGTGAGATCAGAGGTTCCTATTCTTTTCTTCTTTCGGATCGTACGATCGTGGCATTGTTAGTCAATGAACCGTGTCGTGGCAATTACTAAGCACAAAGCCACGGTCACAATAACGCCGGTTAATTGTCTAGCTTCATGGGCCGAAGAGAAATTAATTCCAACAGAGAAGATTATTCCAGCGTCGTTTCCAGATTAATTTTATGCCTACGCGTTTAATTCCCTTCCCTCTACCTGTTCGATTCATTTGCCTGCATCGGCTTTGTTACATTTGCCTGCCACGATTAGGATAATACGAATCAGATGCGTTCCCTCTTACAATTCCATTCGATGAAACGCTGTGACGAGAATCGAGCCACGGGATATTGTCGGGATATAATTAACCTTTGAGATGAAATTAGGTATTGTTCATTTAATCTCACGCAAATCTGAGATTACTAATTGGAAACGTGAAATAACGTAGCTAAGAGATGTATGTAAAATAGAAATGAAATGAAGTGGTTTCTTCAAATATATTCTACTCTGTATTGTACGGTTATTGAAGAAAGGATCCTCTAGTCGATTTATTTTGATTCACGTGAAATTTAATAAAGGTCCACGTACGGCTACCGGCTTACCATTTATTACTTTGCCGAACGGAAAAATTCCAGGCACGATTTGCGTGCACTGTCACTCGAAAATTTATATTACAGCATGTTCGATCGTGTATTACGTTGGAAGGAGCTGAACGAGGAGCGCTCAAGAATTTCGATTATCATGCACTCGGTACCGATCAAATGTCTGACCAATGTCGTCTGATTCTACTTAGCGATACGATTCAGCTCTTACAAGATTTTAAAAATTTCGTATTCGGTATTTTTGATGAAATATTGTTGTAAAAAGATGCTCACCAACGTGTATAATAGGCTCTGTTGCGAGTTCGTGCAACAATTGGTCCACGTATTTAGAGCTCGTTGGGTAGAGTTCCGTCCTGGAGATCTTTAGGTGAAACTTCTCCAGTGTCGAGCTGTTTTTCCTGTAATCAGTAAAGAATGTTTGTGTTAAATATTGTGGTAACGTAAATGAATATATTTCATTAGAATGTATAATAAAAAGGTTAATGAATATACAGAGATAGGGAATTTACACCAAAGTAGCTCGCAAAATCAATGTTCTTCACTCTCCAAAAATCAACTCAATTCTATCGCACTTTGAAAAGGCACTCTTGTTTATAGTATTTTTCACACCACTCCACAGTTCTCACAAGAGTCGAAAACTAAGGCCTCGCACGACCCTTCGGGTCTGGTTTTCGTCATTTTCCATTTTATGGCCCTCTTCCTGCCTTTAGAAATATAAACTACTCTAAACTACGATACCACGATATTGATGTGTCAATTTGGAGCAGGGTTAAAAATAAATTTGGTTTAGTAATTTCACCGTTTTCATTCGAAATTAAGAGTACTGATATATTTAGATTAGTAGAGTGAATTCATTAATATTTTAGTCGTGTCAAGAAAGTTCACTCGAGAGAGAAAGATAAAGTTCTCAGCGATAATTAATAATTTTTCATCTGATATTTGAATTTTCCGAATATAAATATAAACATCTGAATCCTTTATTCTTTTCGTGTTTGCAAAAGGGATCTTTGAAGAGTGTTAATCAAAAAATGGTAATCCTTTCGGAAATAATCTAAAGAAGTCTGTAATTAAATATTACGTTTGACAAGCTGTTTTAATTATAATCAAATACTCAAAGCAGGGAAGTTGGAGAATAATAGGGAAAAAATATTCGAGGAATTTTATGTATAACAAGAGGACACTGTTCAAACATTCGCTTCATAAATTTTTCAAGGATTTTCCACGATATAACGAGTACCAGGAACGGTTGCGAACGTTCTTTTTTCTGAAAACTTTATTACCCATCATGGCCAGTCGTGAAACGATCTATTAAAATTAATCAGCAGACTAATTGTCACCTTAATCACTCCTCGCCTCTTTCTCTTTTCCACGCCTGTTATGTAACACTTTTCTAACCAGAAAATCCAAAATTCATTCGTTTAATAATTTTTAAACAATTTATAAATCGCTTTTATTACGAATACCAACGTGTTAATATTCTGATAGAATTCACAAGGTATAAAAAGAAGAAGATTTTCCTTATACACCGAGTTAATTCTTGAGGAACTGAATGCATCTCAAGAACCTTCTTTGAAGTGAATCAGTTTCACAGAAGGAAACCTGACAAGGGTGTGGATCACGCGACACCTTAATTACGTAACTTTAGAGGTGTCTGAATTAATTGCTTTCAACTTTACGTGTGCATCATATATTACCGTCTTTATATCACCTTCGAACATTCAGAAATGAACGAATATCATTTTCATTATAATTATATAATCCATAATTTTGCCTGAATAGATCAACGCTCTAATTAACACCTTTTCTTCCGGAACGATTGCCTCAGAACTCGGTGAATGACAGTTTCTCGAATAGTAATTGATTCTGGAAATCATAAAACGACCTCTGTCATGCTAATTCCCTTTGTCCATGCCGATATTAATTCCAAGGACTGTTCGCATGCAGTTTTATAAATATCAACCAACAACGGGGAACATATTAATGCGTTTATGATTCAGACGAACTCATCGACCGATGACTAATTCCCTTCGCAACATCGGAAATTCGTCATCCTCTGGAAAAATCTTTTTTCTGCGTAATTTCATGTCGTTCGCGAGTCAGTAATTAACGATTCATTTTCGCGCTTGGTAATTAATCATGCGATCCGCTTTTCATTGTATTCCAAATGACGTAATGCGAAAATCAATTAAATCGATTATCATCGTTACAATGATTTTCTTCGATATCAGAGTATGGCTGGTGTCTGTTGAAATCTGCATTTCTCGAACCACACTGTTCCTCCTAATTCATGCGCGTGTCTCCATTCCGCGTAGATGCGCTTAATATGCATGTAGCATGATGTGTATTGTCGAGGATTAAACTCTGTACTAGGGCAAAGCATCGGATTATCCGCAAAACTGCATTCCCTCGTCATTGTGACGACAATGTTCGCCAAAATCGCGCCAGCCTATTCGATAATTTCCATTATTCCAATAAAAATATATCAAAGAAATTTTTCCCTTCAAAGATCGATCCTTTTTTTTTTCAATCTCCATTCAACTGGTACAATTCGAAGAATGTAATGCGATAATTTATTAGGATAATTCCCGATCATCGATTACCGTATCGCGACAAAATACCCGCCCTTGTTTTCACGATTCGTTAAACAGATCGTTAATTAGCCGAGCGTCGACCCACGTTTCGTTTCACGTTCGCCTTTGGTAATTTTCCTGGGAACGGGCCAAGGATCTTAGCATTCTCGAAAGGTAAGGATTCTGTTTTCAATTATCCCCTCGAGGATCCTCGAAAGCGAGGCTTTAATTTATAATACGATTGGACCAAGGCTCTCGCGGTTGGATTAGAATCATCTTGGAGAATGCGGCGATGTCTTTGACGCGAGGTATCAGCGGGATGATCGAAAGCATCGCGGATTCGTTAGGGAGATTAATTTTAATTCATCTTTGAAACCGTCGCACCCTGACGATCCGGTGAATTCTCAAGGAAAGCTGAAGGGATCTCGAGAAGATTTGACTAAGACGGTTTTTCTTAAAAAATTTTCCTCTGATTAGAAATTTCAATCTTTCGAGTTACGCGAGATATAGAAAATAAACAGGAAAGTTAATTAATTGGAAAGAAAGGTGGAAGCGATACGGGGGGTAGGTTCGATTTCGCGTCGAATCGTTTTCATAAAACGACACCCGGACAAGTCTAGTTACCATCGGGTGCACATCCACAGGCAAGACGTAATCAGTCAGTGTACATGAAAGCGTGACCTAAGCCTTCGTTACTGCACGTGCATGCGCCATGAAATTGCATTAGCGATCACTGCATATTGAGGCAGACTGTGTGCATTCTGACCTGTGCACACAGAGACGTGCACCGGGACTCAGTATACGTACGTATCCCGTGTACACTTGCACGAATTGTACGAAACCCCAACTATATATACACGGTGTGCCTACTTTAACGATCTCATCAATTGTCAGCCGGCCAATGTGTGCCGACGGTCGTTGCTTCTACTATCGATTTTCACACCCGTGTACATATCTCGAAAAATCATCGAAACTTTCATTATGATCGCAGTAATAAATTATCTTGATAGTGATTGCATTAACGTTTTGAAATTTCAATATTTTAGGATTGAATTTAATTAATTATTGTCACGACTATTTCTCGTTAATGGATACTCAATTTTACTTAATTTTAACCCTTAAACAGCGGAGCCTGGATCAATTATATAATTCTTAAACATGAGAAAATAATATGAAATAGAAAATTAAATAAAAATTGTAGCTCGTCAAAATTGCGAGCATCTTTTTGGCATTAAAATTCCAATATTTTAGGATTGGATTTAATTAATTATTGTCTCAACTATTTCTCGTTAACGGATACTCAATTTTACTTAATTTTAACCCTTAAACAGCGGAGCCTGGATTAACTGCATAATTCCTAAACAAAAGAAAATAATATGAAATAGAAAATTGAATAAAAATTGTGGCTCTCTCCATGATCCGCTGTCTTAAAGCGGGCTCTCTCCATGGTCCGCCGTTCGAACCGAAAGTTAAATGTATAGTTTATATGAATAATTTTCAAAAAAACCGTGTAAAATTTAGAAAACTGCGTGGAATCTCTCCATGGTCCGCTGTCCGAGGGTCAATGTAACGCGACGTAGTAAAAACATCCAGCCCACTGGTCATTAATAAATTATTAAATTAAGCTGGTATCGGTTAATTCGAGAAGATCCGAGACGTGGCAAACGAGCCCGGCCTGATTACGGGATTGTCTGATTAGTCTGTTTCCCTGGGAGATTTCGGGAACAGGTGCGGGTAGCCGGAAGTCAAGGAAGCATCGTGAGTCTTCCAGTGTGCCTGGCAAGCGGCGTGTTCGCGGAACAAGCCAAACTGCAAACCGAATCTTCCAGAGTAGATTGAGTTCGGAAACACACGCGCCAGTCGAAATAATCTCACCCGATCCTCGGACGGGTGTACCGGAGTAACTCCTCTCACCGCCGTCTGTAACTCTATCAGAACTCGGATTTAAGCTTCGTTCGCATGTACGGAAGCGATCGCTGGCCAACAGATTCGAAATTGAACCTTCGGATGCCCGTTGAATTTCTCCGCTCAACGAGAACCGATCAATTCACGATCTTCGAATCTTTCGCGAAAGCTATCAGTTTCAGAAATTTACATTTCGTATCCATGAATTCCGCTGAATTTGTTGAAAATCTATTTTCCACTGATCGCAAACTCGTCGATTTAAAATATAATAAAAAATTTTTTAAAAATGAGAAAAATTGCAGAGAGGGCGTAAAACAGAGGGATGGTTAATGGTCGACACTTACCACTGAATTTTTTAAAATGGTTTATCCAGGCGATAGTGGACACCAAGGGGAACGTAAAACGGGCTTAGAAGAAGAATAAAGAGAAGAGGCTGGAGAGAGCCAACGAAGGTGGCGTTCATTTGTTATTCATAGGGTCGGCATCGCACCCTGGCACGTCGTCGAACTGGTTTCGTTCGAACACGTCTCCACAGAAACGCGACGGAAGGCCGCAAAGCTCGCGAACTCATCTGGCAACTTCAATTACACAGATATCTTTTACATTCAACCGCCGGTAAACTCGTGTCCGGTTGCTTTCAAATGTTTTTTCACAGCTTCCATTCCTCTTTCCCTCTATTTTCAATGATAAAAATCACTGTTCCTTTTGTAAACAGCATGCATTTAATTGAAATAAAACAAACGGTATGAATCGTACCCAGTTGGATAGCGATAATAAATTAAGAATAATTCCATGGTAAATATAAATGATAAAAATAGTACACTTATGCGGGAAAGATGGATTCGATATTAAAATTACAAGTGCGTTCGTAATTTGATGGAAATCTGATGAATTGTTTCATAAAATATGGAGATGTTTAAAAT